AAGATGAAAGATGTAACATGGCATGGAACATGTATAGTTAGAACGTTTTTGTTAGACATTGACGTACCAACTCCTTACTTTGTTCACTTAACCTTAGTCCAATCTCCTAACTTGCCTTTTTCATTTGTTTTTCTTTAGAAAACACCATGTGGACACTTGCACATGTGCATGTATGTACTATCCACTATCCATCCATGTGAAAAAGAGAAAATAGAAGAGTAGGAAAAACGAGACCAAACAAATACCTAATAAGTGATAACGAAGCATTACTACTATTTACATAACTATATACATGCACGGAATTATATGATATTCACCTATCTAAAAGTTTTAATCATTATATTTTATCAAACCCATATATCAATAATTAAAGAATGTGCTGAATCTCAAATAAACTTATAATTTGGTAATACTAAAAAATACTTAATATTCAATTCGTTTTTTAGTAAATTTGTTATATGGTGAAAAATAATATTTGTCTTTAGCTAGAGGTATATCCAGTTCAGTTTTCTATATCGAACTGAACTGAATCAGACAAGTGATTCAATTCGGACAAACTGAACCAATTTTGATAATTAGTTCAGTTTTTGAATCAGTTAAAAAAAATTATTCAATTCTTAAACCAATTAAAAAAAAAAATAGTGTAGTTTGATTTGGGTCGTGTTTCAGTTCAATTTTTTATTTTATTTTTTATACTCCCAAAAATGAGTATGCTAACCGAACCGAATTAAATTGATAAAATGATTCTGCTTTTTGAACTAAATTAATTGTAAAAAATCATTTAATTCTTAAACTGATTCGAATACAATAATTCTTGAACTAATTTAAAAAATATAATTCTTTTAGTACATTCACATCCGTTTTATTGTATCTTAAGAAATTAAAGATTTTTTATGACTATAAGATGGGCCGGTCCATGTTGGAAACCGCGTGTTAAGGTCAAGTTTGGCTGGACCACCAATGCGGTACATGAAGCACTTTTTCGACGCATTGTCTCAATATTACATTAATGATATGGATCTGCTACAACTGTTCGGATATATCTTATTAAATATGTAAACAATATATCTTAGTAACGAAGTTGGATGGTGTGCTCCATGAAAAAAAAAAAAAAAAAAAAAGTAGTAGGATATCGATTGGGGACATTGTCAAGATGATTTATTAATAATATATGTCATTGAACATGAAAGCCACATTCACCTACGCTTGTACACTTAAATTCATTCTATGTGTACGCGCACAAGAAAGCATTCCCTCGCTCGTGTGTTAATTAATATAATGTGGAAAGATTTTAATTATACAAAGATGAATCAACGATGATAATTTTATAATTATATATTCCATTTTTTTTCTCGCTTCCCTTATCATCGTTGATTCACTTTTGTATGATTATAATTTTTGCACATGACATGATCATATTAACTAACACATGAAATGTTCTAAGTTCCATCGAAATGATTTTAGGCTTAAAGAAAAAACAAAGGAATGTTTTTTTGCTTGCTTTTTCAGGTTTAGTAAATATTTTTTAATTTTTTATATAATTATTTATGATTTGATATTTATTATTTTAAAGGACATATAATTATGTCATTTTAAATGAAAAAAAGAGATCATGGGAGGAGAAAGTATGTGATATTTTAATTTAAATTTTAAATAAAAATACTAATTTTGACTAAAATGACTATCCTTTAAAAAAATAAATATTTTTTTCATTATTTAACTCGATAATTACATTAAACTAGTTAACCCCTTCGTTTTTTTTTTCCTTTTTTTACTTCCCCCAGCAACTCCACCCCCCAAAATAATTTTCAGGTTTTCTCTGTTTATTTTCAACCAAAAGTCTATAATTATGAAAGAAAACAAAACATTTTAACTTAAAATAAACATTTTTATGAAAATAAGTTCAGATTTACTTTTTGTATGCGTCTAGGAATTTTTAATTAAATTTTTAATTTTTTTGCTGAATTTGAAACGTGATTATTGTTGAGGTCATAGGTGAGTTACAATTTTATTACGATATAATACTTGTTTCATATTAATTACAGAAGTTTATTCACAGGCAGAATTGATTGGTTCAGAACTAGACTCTAGGACGACATATTTAATAATTTTAGAAACACGCCGTGCTTAATAAACAATTTAGTACACCCTTAAAAATAAAAAGAAAAAAATTACCAATGAATTTTTTCATACAAGTTTTTTAACATACTCTTACAAGTTATACTATGTATTACCGGTAAGGGTGTAAATGGACTAAGTCGGCCTACAGGGGCCTACGCCCTAGTCTATATTAGGTCAAGTTTGGTCTATTACAAATAATAAAATAGAACAGGCCTAAGCTTTTAAAAAAACCTACTTAGAAAACAGGCCATAAGCTTTTCTTTTTACATATCAGACCTATAAGCCTACATCCAGATCTATATCATATTTTTTATTTAAATAAAATTATTATTTTAATAATTTTGAATAATAAAGTAATATTATTTTCGTTATTCTTTTAATTATTGAATATTTAATAGGCTTAAACAGGCCTAAACCAAAGCTTTTATTTTTTAAATATAGGTCAGATCAGACTTGTAATTTAGGACCTATATAAGCTAACAGGTCAGGCCAGACCCAATGTTTTTTACGTAAACCTGGTCTATTTAAGTCAAAGTCTAGCCTAACTTATTTACACCTCTAATTACTAATTACGGGTAATACATACTATACGAATATATATTACCCGTAGTACATATTATTTGAGTATGTACTACCCGTAGTACATAATGTAATTTATAAAAAAAAAAAAATTGTAAATATATCTCGTCCTTAAGTTTTTAATATAAAAATCATGCATAAATATTTTATTTCCTGATTTACGAGTTTAACAAACTCACCTCTCAGAGGATACGATAATGGGGGTTGAACAGAAGCATTGTGAATTGGGAAATGTTGAAAGGGGATATTCCTATTCCGCTGCAGCTGCTTAGCAACCAACCAATCAGCGAAGATATTTGTGATTCCCTGGGACCACGGTGACCAAAGTGTCATGTTTGGACAAAAAAATTATCAGACTGCCATATCAACATTGAATTTTGCCAAAATGGCACGCGGCATAATTCGCTACACAGTGTAGCGAATTATGTCACGTCAGAACCAAAGATGTCACATGTCAAATTTTGAGAAATTCGCTACCCTATGTAGCGAATTTCTCAAAATTTGACACGTGGCATTTTTGGTTTTGTGCATTCTGACGTGACATATTTCGCTACTCAGTGTAGCGAATTACTTGCATGCATAATTCGCTACACTGTGTAGCGAATTATGACGCGTGGCATTTTGACAAAATTTACTGTTGACGTGGCAGTCCAGTAATTTTTTTGTCTAAATATGGCAAAATGGTCACTGTTCCGATTCCCTATTGAGTTGAATTTGATTGCTGAAAACGATAGGAATTGAAAATTGTTCCGTCGTGTGAACACAAAACAAAAAGAAATTAGTGTTGATAATTTTATCTCCTGTACACATAAAAATATGTGGTCTATATTTTCTTTTTTACACATAGCCCTATATAGGTCATATATTTTTATTTATGTGGAATAAATAAAATTATCTTCTATTATCTAAGAAAAATTGATCCCAAACAAAAACATCTTCATTTCAAGGATGTTGCACATTGAGTTTTGGGCTTTGTCCTTGTTAAATTGATACGATACATAAAATTGGCCCAAGAAGAAAAGTGCCATCCAAATCCATTTATTTATGAAGTTGTGCACGGGACTGGTTGGTTTCAAAATGGTTAATATTATTTACACACTTATTCTATCTTCACACTTTTCTAGTTGGGGCCTGGCTAGAGGTGGTAAAGTGGGCGGTCCCGCCTTGCTCCCCCAAAAAATAAGTCAGCCCGTCCCGCTTCGCTTTTGAAAGTGAGTTGAAAAACTAAGTCCGACCCGCCCCATTTGGCGGGTTGGCCCGTCAACCCGAGTCTATTTTACACTGACTCGCCTCGGCTCGCCTATGCCCGCCAAAAAATAAACCCGCCCCGCTTTTGAGATGGGTTGAAAAACTCAGCCCGTCCCTGCCCCCGTTTGGCGGGTTGGGCCGCCGAGCCGAGCTCGTTTTGCCGGCTCTAGGCCTGGCGAGAAAGAAAATGTAAAAAGTTTATTTTCTTGTTTTGTTATTTAAAACAAGGGAAATATTAGCCTCATATGACAGTAGATAATAAGTCTCTCCTACGCACTCAAAAAGACGTGGAACCCACTTCAATTTTTTTTTCTCTTTTTCTGTGCAAGGACCCACATAAGTTTGTGAGTGTAACATCAGATATCTTATCTCATGTTGCATGAGAAAATATAATCCCTTAAAACAATGGATTTAAAAAGGGAAAAGTATTTTTCCAATCAATGGAGATAAAATTATCTCCAGTGAGCTCAAAACGACGTCGTTTTGAGTTATAAAATTAAAGAATTATAATGATAAAGACTAATATAACCCTGCAATATATTAGAATTACAAAAATACATTGATTTCCGTCCCGAAACGACGTCGTTTTGGACTCACCAGAGATAACTTATCTCCGTTGACTCGAGAAATCCTTTACCCATAAAAATGGTGTAATAAAAATGAAAGTCCAAGCTGATGCTACGACGTTTAAGTTTTTATAGGAACAACATACGTAGAGTATCATGTACACTTAGAAGCATGAGAAAGATGTTGAAGAAGGTTGTAGATATGTTTCCCCCGTCCTTGAGACCTGTGACTAGTGGTATCGACACCAATTCTTTATCTACGTTTCACTTTTAGATACATTATTTATCCCCCTTTTTTTTTTACTACAACATTCTTTATCTCTTTATTTTCCCATTTTCTAAGCTATGAAATACATTTTTACTTCTTATGTTCTTTCACCGTGCAGTATAGCAAAGCGTTAAACTAAAACATGATAATCTACTTGTACCAAAAAAAAAACTGATAATCTTTTCAAACATTAAATCCAATGGCAATCAAGTGCAAGGTACTTCAATGACTTCTCTTAAAATATGGATAATTTAAGACGAACTGAAATTTATCAGAGTCAGTGATCAATCGTCCAGGTACTTTTCTGCAGGCAAAGCAGCTGCATGTATTAGTTTTTGTACATATAGTTCATAAAGCTTTTATTTATATTAATCCATTTTATTACCATTTCAGTTCACCAATATTGTTCAAAATCAAACTTGAACTGATTTATTTTCCATCTTTATAGGTCAATAACACACGTTGGCAGATGAAGTTGAACTAGCATTCTTCACAGGAAGTGAATTGAGAACCATCCCTTCAGCACCGCAGTGACTCACCTTAATATCGCCAAGCTGCCTGGGATTATAGCCTTCCATGCTGCTTGCTGTCTCTGTTGTCACTTTTCCCATCTCAGCTATTGCTTTCAGCCGGATACGCTCAGCTCTTGAGCCAATAACCTGCCCGAGGATAGAAGCTGCAATGGTCAATGCCATTGCTGATTTAGGCATTACTACTGACTTCCGAAGCATGGCTATAAATGGAACAGCAGCATGCACAGCTGCAAACCAAGACAGCGAGAATTTCTTGGTATGCTCCTTCCACATGCCGAAGGGCACATTAACTGCCATGCCCAACGCTGCAATAACGAGCATTTTTGCAGGAAGAGGTTGCGGGCGCAAGTTTTTAACAAAGGCTGTACGGGCAAGGGCAGCCCTTGCAGCAACAATTGCAGGCGGACATCTGAGTTTCATTCCAGTTGGTGGCCGAAAAACTGTTGCAACAAGGGGGAGAACATTGCTTACGGCTCTATAAGACTTGGCAATTGGGCAATTTCCTTTTGCCAACCATTCATTTCCAAGTGCCTCGTGCTTTAAGACATCTCCTTTCTGGAATGAAGCTCGGCACAGAAAGTCACTTAAATTAGTTCACAATAATTAGTAAGCAACAGAAAAAGAAAATCATGAAGCACATCGAAATCTTGCCCAATGATCCACAACACTGACAGAAAAGTTTTTGCTAATCGCATGGGTGTAAATCAAAATGATTGACAACTGGGTTATAGATGCTCTCATGCCTATAACAACAGTACATGTTTCCTACCAGGAATTAATTTCATGATAAAGTGCTAAATGTCACAATTGACTTCCATTTTGCTAAACAAACTTCTAAGATTGTGTGTGTCAAACCAAAAAAAAAATAAAGGAAAAAAGAAAACAACGAAATACCCGAGATGAGTGTTCCTTTTTATTTGATGATTCGGACTTCTGCTTCTTCCATTTCTCAGAAAAATTCCCAAAACTGAATGGGCCACCTAGTCCAAAGGATGAAAGACTTATGGTGGCAGCTTTTCCTGCTAAAGGGTTGAAAACAGGCAGAGAATCATCTTCTGCACAGCCATTGTGCATGTCAGATCTCTCAAAGAGGGGAATGACTCCATCTTTCCCATGAAATAGCTTAAATGCCATGTCAAAACTGGGACCATCTTCAAATATAGGACCCTTGCCTCCGTGCACCTGAACATTGAGAATGAAGACAATTAGCTAAAATATTGAGCCGAATTTAAACTACCAATAAAGAAGATTGTTGGAAAGGGCACAAAGATGAATAACTTACAGGAATGGGGATTTTTGCAGAAGAGAAAGAGAAACTTGTAGGCTCGTTGATGTTTCTCAAAAACGGACACCGTTGGATGTCTTTCACATCAAAGGGGCACTCAGATCCATAGCCATTCATTCCCTTTAAAAAGAAGTCCATTGTCTCCTTTTGTTGAAACAATTTCTTCTAGTAACAAGGAAAAAACTACTAGTCAGATGAAACCGATCATATTAGATAGCAACTACGTTATTTTACATGGAACTAACTTTAAATAGATCAAAATGCCATGAAATATAAGACAGAGACAAATTACGTAACAAAGAATGAATGAAGTTGAAAAACAACATAATTATGCAGTTACCTTCAATCGAAGCTATTACAAACGTAGTAAAAATTTCAAGGGGAAGAGAATGGATTAACTAATTAATATCTATCTCTCAATTGTTGTCTTCTAAATTAAACAACAAATCACAATTATCAGTCGCCTGCTTTGTTATAGAACTGGACCAGAATATGAGAAAAATTAAGTAATCTTCATCGCAAACAATCAATATTCGCACTATCAATGTGGTACATAACAGAGACCAACAACACAAGTATCACAGCAAAGAATCCTCTCCCTCTCACCCATTTATTTGAGAGACCTGGACTTTCCCTCTCAATCTCCACTCCGAGTCTAAAAACTAATCACTATTATTTCCCTTCTATTTTTTATACCCAGTCATCTCTCCTTCTCTAACTAATTATTTATTCCAACTAACTAAATGAGAGTGATCCAGTCCTAATTGGGATCTGCTAACACTTTGTAAATCCAGAGGAAGCACATTTTTGTCCCCAAAGGAGCTAAAAGAAAAAGAACAATTCAGACATATCAGATGAAGTTAGATTGAATAAGACATTATTTCAAAATTGTTCCCCTTCACTCAGGAAAGAAATGCCATGGTAAGAGAAATTACACAACTAGCGCAACAAACAAATAAAAAAACACAATTCATCTCATAAAAGTATAGAGGGTAAGAGTAAGAGACTGCATCCAGCTATAATGACATCATTCCATCACCTTCCATAAACCATTATTATTCCATTCGTACAGTATCCGGGAGAAGTTGAAACCTTCTATAGCTAATAGTTTTACATATACACATTTACAGGGGAGAAAAATAAAATTAAGTCAATAATCAAAAATTATTAATGCCAGTGCCCACCAATCAATCAATTATTCGAAAACTCCAGAAATTCTCAGGCATAACAAATGGATCAATATGAACCCTAACAAAAAAAAAATCGGTTTCGCTCATTTAATCGAAAACGAAAACGATGGAATTCAGAGAAGGAAATTACGGTGCAGAGAATCAAAAATCGAAAGCGTTTAGAAAGAGAGACGATACCCTCACCAGAGAACTGCGAAGACGTGTGGTTGCCACAGACACGTGAGCAAGGAAGGCACAGGTTTTGAGAGATGAACCACACGTGCCTTTTATTACTCCTTATAATCTTTTGTAACTTATTTTTTTACTGTCAATTTTTATCAATTCAATAGTAATTTATCAAAGGGAAATGTTTTTTTGGTGTTAAAACATAAATGTTATCTCAGGTTACACACACATTGAAATTTGAGTCAGTATTTCTTTTTTCTTTTCTTTTTTTATTTTAATTGTGGATTTTTAATTATGTCTCTACGTAAGATAATATTATATTATAAGGTATTCATCAACCGATCCAAATTTATTTAAACCGTGGTGATCGAACCGAAAAATGATAACCGAAAATCAAAAAATCAAAAATCGAAAAAAAAATCACAAATTTTAATTGGATTGGATCGGTTTTTGGATTAATTGATGAAAATCGATCCAATCCAAACCGATCCAATATATTAATTTTTCTCTAGCTACTTGGGCTTTTCTCCGATCAGAAACAAAAAATTTCTAAACCCAAGACCCATTAACCCATCAACTAAACCCAAGAAAAAACCTAGTCACATCTCATCAACAAAATTTTATCTGTGTAGAGCTTTATGTCTCATTTACAAAAAAATAATTATATTATCGTCACTGATGCTTTTGTATTTTAAAAAAAATTACAAAACCAATATATACAGAAGATGTTATTTGCACAATAATCATGAAACAACTTTTAGGATTTTCAAAAAATCGAAAACCAATCCAATCCAAACCGAAAAAAAAGGATTGGATCGGATCGGATTTAAAAAAAATTCAAACATAATGGATGATTACATGATCAAACTGAAGATATTGGATCGAATGATTTGTTTTTCCAAAATCAATTCAATCCAGACCGCGAACATCCATATTATCTCATGTAACATGAGAAAAGCATTGCCCTTTATTGAGATTAATAATTAATACTAAATATAACCCAATAAATTATAATTATTAAATTGAAAGAAATTAAAAGTGTAAAAAATAAGTTATAAGAGGTTAAAAAACTTTTAGATTGTAAATATAATGCCTCTCTTATTTAATAATTAGTATATTTTACCAATTTATAATAATAAATAAAGACTTCAATATTTTTTAAAAAGAGGTTGAGTTTCTCATATTACATGAGAATTAACCACATTCTAGCAAACAAACACGCTACAGTACCACATGTTATATTTTTTATGGGAAAAGTGTTTGTCCTTTTAAATGACACAATTTATGTCATTTCACTCTCACAAAAAGGTGGGACCCAGACCTTTATATTTTTTGTCCACTCTCTCTCCTTCTTTATCTATCTCTTTCTCTCACTTAAAATGACACAATTTTACATCCTTTAAAAGGATACACATTTTTCCCATTTCTTATTTGAAAAATATTTCTCCAGTTACTATAGATAAAATTATCTCCAGTGAGCCTAAAATGATGTCATTTTGGGATAATAAGATTAAAAAATTATAATGATAAAGAGTAATATAATCCTGCAATAAATTATAATTACAAAAATATTTTTATTTCAGTCTCAAAACCACATCGTTTTAGACTCACCCGAGATAATTATCTTTATTGACCTGAGAAACCATTTATCTTTTTTTTTTTTTTACTTAAAGTGGGCCCCACAGCTGGAGATGTCAGCTCTCCAGCTCAGCTTTCCTGTCACAAAAGAATTATAATACCCTTTTTATATACTATCGTATATTCGTGTGCAAAATTTATTTCATTAAAAAAATAAATTGTGAAAAATCAAAAATTTATGTGAAATTTTAAAAAAATATCAAATACTTATTTGTTAGAATAATCTGATATTGAATCCAATGAAATGATGAAATTTTTAAAAGGACTTTATCCTATCGAGACAAATAAAGTGGCCTGTATCATTTTATTTTATTTTTGTAAAAAAAAAAAGTGACCCTTTTTTCAAATTGAGAGTAACAAGAGATATAACTATGCCCTTTTTAAATTCATTACTTTGGATAATATACAGGTTGATCCAAACCCCTGGGACTTCCTTAGGCTTTTAGACTATACAGTGACTTTTTGGACCTTTGGGCTAAGACTTAGTGGTTGAAATTAAAACATATATGACCTATTTGAATTTGGTTTTGAAAAACAATTTTTTTATTTTCAGAATAAAAAAATAAAATAATACAGGCTTGTTTGAAATCTTTTTTTTTTTTAATATTTTTCAGAATAAAAAAAAAACCCATTTGGTAAGACTTATTTTATGAAAAAAAAAAATTAAAAACTATAACTATTTTTTATTTTTAAAATCAAATTGAAAAACATCTTAGTTGTTTTTATTTTCTGTTTTTGTTTTTAACTTTCAAAACAAAAAAAATAAAAAATACAAATTTTCATAAATATTTTACAAAACAATTTTAAGAAGAAAAAAAATCAGAACACAATCAAACAGACTCATTCTATTTGATAAGACCTATTTTGTTAAAATAGTTCAAAAAATTATTTTTTATTTTTTAAAATCAAATTTAAAGAACATATCTTAATTGTTTTTTATTTTATATTTGAACTTTTAAAACAAAAAAAAATACAAAAAACACATATTTCATTAATTATTCTACAAAATAGTTTAAAAAAAAAACACACAATCAAAGAAGCCCGCACCACGTCAGCATCAAGAAATGCTGCATCAGATACCGCATAATTATGTCATCCATATTTACAGAGCCTACAGTTCAGACGAAATCGCTAATATTTCTAAGACATGACTTGAAACAAAGTAAAAATGAACTGAACAATAGCACGATTCAAAAAGCACGGTTTTGCCAAATTTCAATATCCTCCAAATTCTTGCTTTTGAGCAATCCCGTATCTTCCTTGCATTACATTACTGCTTCCATAAGCTGGAGGTGCTGCATTGAAACCCGGACAGTCTCTTGCCCAATGGCCAGTTTGATGGCACTTAAAGCATTCACCAGAAACAACACCTGATCCAGCAGATACCCTGTTTGCGAAGGCCCCTCCCCCAGACTGTCCAGGTCGATTTCTAATATTTGGGCAAAGTGCAGAGATATGATCAGAGCCTCCACAATTGTTACATGACATATGTGAACCAGGAGGCCCTGCTGAAGGAAAAGAACTGTTATATTGGTTTCCATACTGACCCACTTGATTTGCTGGAATCCCATAATCTCTACTAGCATTAGTGTTGCTCTTTATAGAATTATAAACTGGTGGCGTAGCTTGTCCAGTTTCAACACTCCCCAGTCCAGCATTATTGATTACAGTGTTAGTATGGGTACCTTTTGATTTCTCATCCTTAAGCTTATCAATCAAATCCAAAACAAATCTAGATTCAGACGCATAGTTTACCTTCTCTGCTTTTACTACCGTTGACTTAACACGTTGTTCATCACTGAATGTCTCCTCCTTTACTTTTAACTTGAACACATATTTATTGAAGAGAACCTTACGGATGATTTCTGCAAATTTTTCATCCTCTTGTTCTTCAAATTTCAGATAATACAAATCTTTTGCAGGTATACCCATGATCTCCTCACCACCCTCCTGGAAAGCAGTAACCCATGTTAAGCCAGTGTGATCCTGTATCTGGAATTGCAGTAAGTACCTATAATCACATGCGTCAATAGATTGATCACATCTGTCACAACGCCATTTTCCATCTCCATTATTAGTCACCTTTTTGTTACATTGCCTATCCCCTATCATGATAGGACAAGCTGTGTAGCAGAAATTATCAACTTTAATGAATGAAACGCTTGCACAGACAGATATCCAATCAGGCTTCTCTGAAGTCCCTAACTTCTCATCTTTAATCTGAGATATAGTCTTCCGCACATCAGTCTTACCAAAACTGGACGTTTCTCTGGAAATAGAGACAGCTGGTACATTCCTCCCTTCCCTCTCAAACCATTGTTTCAGTGTATACGCCTCTGGGAAATCAGGCTCTACAAATAGCTGGCTAGTGGCTATGGTCCCAATAGACTTCCCATTGAAATCATTTACTCTGACTGCTTTTGCAGCCAAAACTGGAAATGCCCCAGAATCACAAATACTTTGCAGCCTTTGTCCTTCAGCATTGCAAAAACTTCCCCATAAAGTTAATTCAACACTGCGGCCAGACATGTCTTTCAATTGGAGAGTTCTTTTCTGAGTTTCAGTGCCATTTTTTCTCATGATTGAAGCTGTAGGACTAATAGAAGACACCACACCAATCACATCTACAATACTGTTGGTTTCCACACTTTCAACTTCAATAATGGGACGAAAATTGAACGTCTGCTTTGGAATTGAGTTATCATCGTCAAGGCAAGGCTGTATGATTGATGTAATATCAAGGGTTAGCTCTTGATCATTACGAAGGTGATTAAAATTCTTTTGCGCTGGCTTTATGCTTCCCCTGGAAACCAGATAGACTTTACCAGCTTCAATTACATTATAGAACTGATCAGCCACGGTATTAAAGCAAGTTGCCCGAATTTCTCCACCGTCAGAATCCAGAAGATCAAAAGAAAATACTTTGCCCTCACCTCGGGCATTATTATAGTGCCTGAGTTCTCCCTTAGCCGTTACTCTAGCTTTAATTGTCCACATATTCTGGTATGGATTTAACGCAGCTATTGGAATTATCCTGGGGGGAGCTTCATTTCTTCCTACAGGCCCTCTATTAGTGTACATTGGAGATTGCTGTCGGTACATGGGCTGAGGTGGACGAGCATAAGAATTTTGCAACGGCCTTGAAGCCTCAGATTGGTGACTGCGAAAACTTGTGTTCTGATCACCATAAGTGCCACTGAATGGTGTTGATCTAGGCAAACTGACTCCAGGCTCTACTTTAGGATAAATAGGAGGGGCATTAGATGCACCATATCTTGCAGAGTCAGAATTACTAGAATAAGCACTAGTAGGAGGAGGATTCACTTTCGGGTGGTCCGGGGATGACCCAGCCACATTTGCTCTAGCAGGCACGCCGCCTGCATGTGAACTACTATTTAAAGACTGTGAATTCCCAGAGTTGATCCCTGACTGACCAGAAGCAGATTGTGCAGATACATTTTTTGATGCTGGGATAGGTTCTCCAATCAAATCACATTTGTCCAATAAGACTTCAAGCTCAATGATGATAATAATCCTGTTTACAATGAATTTAACAAAAGCATTCAAACTCGCAAGACTTCAAAAGCACAAACATGATATCGAGAACATGAGGTAATTGATCTTCATCACCAACCTTCGAAAACTATAACAAACGGATGTCAAATTCATCAACTGAAGCACGCACATATCATTACCAAAAGTAAACAATAGGACAAAAATTGCACGGCATTAAACATATTTACATCAGTTAAGACCCAATATAGCAATAACACCGACGTACAGTTGAAAATACCTAATTTCGGATACTAATCTCTTCTAACTTTCGCCCACAGAAAAATTATTACCCCAGAGCATAAAAACTGGACTAAATAAATAAATTAGAAAGATAAAATCCACAACGCTGCTACGAAACGGAGAATAGAACATGCGAAGTTGAACTCACTTGCGGCCCTGGACAGCGTTGCAAACGAACTGAGTGAGCTTAACAACGGAACCTTTCTGCAACCTTCCAGAATGGATCAACTCGTTCTTCTGCGTGCCGAGCATCCCTTGCTGATAAAGCGAGCCATCCGAAAGCACCAACCTGTACCTCTCGCTGTGGCTGTGCTGCGACGACTGCACCAGCTTCAAGTCGATAACTTGAAGCACTGGCCTCAAATCCTCCGAAGAGAAATCGTCACTACTCATAGTCGATATGGCCCCTTCCGTCAGATTCACATCAGCCATTATCGCTTCTTCTTTTTCCCAAATTTGGGGATCGAGAGGAAGAAACCCTAATTGATTCGAGGGATTTGATAGAATAGATCGAGATTAAGAGTTGAAGCGGAAGAGTTAGAGGGAGAGAGAGTGTGTGAATGTGGGAGGGAGAGAGTATTTGAAACCCTAGTGAGTGGTGGAAAATCTTAAAAAGGCGCCATAATTGGTTCCGTTTGGAGAGGGAAACGCCAATTTGCGAAAGGTATATTTTCGTAATGGCCGACAAGGGTATTGGGATTTCACGAAATTCCAATCATGTCCTTATTGTGTTTGGGTCGTTGGAGAATGTCTTCCGAAGGAAGCCCCATGATTTTAGGCCTCACGCGTATTAGAAACCGTTTATAAATTATGAAGGCTTTTTTTAGAAAAATAAATAAATTATAAATATTTTTAAGAAATTTGTTAAAGGGATTAATATTTTTCCTATTACAAAAGATAAAATTATATCCTACAAACTCAAAACATCATTTTGAGGTTAGAGATTAAAAATAAAGGATATTTTGATAAAATTCGTGATAGAAATGTAACATTTTTAAAATACCCTTTAGTTTTTAATTTTTAATCTCAAAATGGCATCATTTTTTTGTTTGCAGAAGATAATTTTATATCCAATGTTATTCATTTTATTATAATATTATTTTATGGAAAAAGTATTTCACCAGATACCGAAGATAAAGTTATATTCATATCCAGTAAGCTCAAAACGACGTCATTTGAGAGTTATATGTTTAAAAATTTATAATGATAAAGACTAATATAATTCTGTAATATATTAAAATTGTAAAAATACCTTGATTTTTATCCCAAAATACCATCATTTTGGACTCACCGGAGATAACTAATCTCCATTGACTAAAGAAATCCTTTACCCTTATCGTATATATTAAGAAGTAAAATCATTCTTTAAAAAATGTGTTGTCCCTCCCTCCTTCAATATCCACTTTCTGTTCATACTTGAAATCACTTACAATATTTTATCTTTTAGTAATTTTTCAAATTTGAATTTTTATATTGATAAGTGTAAAAAGAGTTCAGCATGATTTGATGGGCAAACAATTATATTTTACTTTCTACATTAGAAATTATTAAACCTATTAATAATATTGTGATTATGTCTGTTAGGATTAATTAATTTTTTTTGGGTAAAAAACCAAATTGTTGCAATTGTACCACTATCTTCTGCATCATAAATTCTTAAGCATATTAATAATATTTACTATTATACTTGTAAGAGTCTTGAAAATAGATCTTCTCGTATTAAAATTTCACATAATTTGATCATGTGAAAATTTTGTATCTATATATTTTTTTATCAGTGATAATTAAACTTCACTTATTTAATGAATTTGATGAGAGATATTGACACAAAATTTTGATATGACCAAATAAAATTTTAAGAGTCTTCTAGCGCTACATTACTGGATATTGGTGAAAATATCTCCGGCATACTAAAGTGGTGAGGAACCATTTCCATTGCTTTTGCTTCATTGTTTACGTAAAGAATTTGACCTAGAGCATAGGGAATATGAGTGATAAATGTCAATAAATCTTTCATGTCTCACTTAACACACTATTTTTCTCTAGTCATTATTAATTGGCCTGAGGCATGAAAGTATTGATATATGTGCAAAATGTTTTTACATTAAACAATTTTTCTTGGTGTACGATTTCTGTATTATGATTATTTTGTATCAAGTACTGTATAATAAAAAAGTAAAAGAATATTTGATGGGTCTTACGAAGTAACACATTGTAACTTTTGTCTTTATGAGCACTGTAAGCATTTTATTTTGGGAAATCATTTTCTTATGCTACATGAGAGAATTATCTCATGTAGCATAGACAATATTATAGATGGGATCCACAAAACAAGAAGAAAGAGAAAAATAGAGATGAGACCCACTTCGATTTTGTGTGTGTAGGAATTTAACTTTTCTCATGTGAAATGAGAGAAAAATAACCCTTTTATTTTTCCGTGGTAATTAGGTAGTATTGTGTTGTTCAAAGAGGTGAAATTAAGAGTAAATATTTTTTTGGTCTTCAGCAAATTTTACGATGTTCTTTTTAGTCTCTAGCAAATAAAAAGGCTATTTGTGGTACCTAAAAAATTCAAAATGAACTCATTTAGTTGAAATTGTAATTCTTCATAAATTCAAAAAAGATCCACATTAATCCCTCAAAAGAATTAAAATGAATTCAATTTGAATTTCTTAAGGGTCACAATTAGTCTTTTTATTTTTTAAGAATTAAAATGAATATCGTAAAATTTGCTGAGGACCAAAAATAATATTCACTGTGGAAGCGTTTGTCGTGCTGCTGCAATTTTTATATGAAACAAAGACAGCCGAGAAAATTAACTCCGGGGGTGTTTATTAATATCTTAAAAGAGAATAATAAAGCTAACGTGTCAAGTTTTCTTTTAATTTTAATTTTGTGTTCACACTTCTATGTCATTTTTAAAAATAAATAAATATTTATTTTTTAAGTAAATATAAATTCGAAATTAAATTATTGATGGCAAGCATTAAATTAATATTCCACTATTATTTCTACATTGAAATTGTAAAGTTTTTAATTGAAAATCATTGGAAATTCAACTTCACGTGGGCCACAAAATTTATTAAAATTTGTTAATGACAAACAGTTGTATTAATGTCTCGCTACTTTCTACATGTGGTCGGCAAAATTTAATATAACTTGTTAGTGTTTTATTATGGAAAGTATTCAAATTCGAAATTTAAACTTGAAGGTGAGAAAAGAGTTCATCATTAATATCCCACTACTTTCTGCATGGTTATTGTTAACCCTGTTAATATCTCACTATTGAGCTTAATTATTAAAAAATAAAATTATTTCGTGTATAAATAGGTTGTGTTACTAGGTATTTTCATTTGGTAATTAACTTCTGTACACATGTTTATTCTCTTATTTGTCTGTTTATTTTCTCTATCTTCTCAAACTGTTCTTCTATTAGATGAACATGTAATATATATTTTTGTAGCTCTGTTGTAGAGCAAAGCTAACGAGATGATTTGGAATCACTGGGAAATGTACTTATGTACTTCCTCAGAGGAAGATATGAAATTATTCTTTATCTTTTTTTTTTCTCCAAGTATTTTCTCCATAATCCAATATCATGAATGAGATTATAAAATAAAATGTCTTAACTTTTAAATGACTAAATATTTATGTTTAGCCTTCCTTATCTCTGCTCTTTGGACATCATCTCAAAATTCAACACGGTATAAATTTATCCCTTATCGTAAAGTCCTTTTGTTTTATATCTCAAGCGCAAAATGAGCTTTCTCTTCTATTTTTTTTATCCATACATAATTTGTTTTTCAATGTTGTTGTTGTTCTTTAATTTATATCTGTTCTTGACATATATACTTACTGTTATGATGCAAGCGAACACATGCAGACTTTTTTCAATAACTTTTTTATTTTCAAATTTCTAGGTGTATAGCATGTGTCAGTATTTAAATATTGAGCATTGCTGAATGATGTTCTGGATTCATGCATTGGAATTCTGGAAACTATGATACACGGACACTGAAACGGGACACGACACGTCGACACGTTAATTCTAAAAAATGATATATTTTGACACGTTAGGACACGTTTTGATATTAAATAATATTATATAATTTATATTTAATAGATATAACAGTCCATAATAAGTCATATAACAAATCAAATATTCAAATTTCATAAAACAATTATAAATATAAATAATTTTTCGTACCTTGTTAATTTTTCATGTCAAATTTTATAACTGGAAAAATTGTTTTATAAATGATTTTTTTTATTTAATAAAATAAAATAAAGACTAAAAAAAAAGTGTCCGAGCGTTGACCACCTATCAGAAAAAGTTGACTGCGTGTCGAAAAAACGTGTTAAAACATGTCAGAGAGTTGACCACGTGTTCCAAAATATTGACCGCGTGTCAGAGTGTGTCCGACACTCAATTTTTTCAAAAGAAAGTGTGTCCGTGATTCAAAGTGTGAAAGTATGCCACCATCTCTGGTAAGAGTTTATTTTAAGTGATTTATAAATGAAGAACTATAACTTAATCTATTTCTTTCTTCTTCTTCTTTTGACAATATTGATCCGTAATAACCTTAGTTTTTGAACTCAAAGCAATTTTTTTTCTAAGAATTATTTGATTTAATTATCATTGTTAATTTATTTTTCTACTTCTTCTTTTTGTGCCTATTCTGTAACTGTCTATCGTAATTCAATGTAATTAGGCATTAGAAAGCTCTACTCTGCATGTTCACATTGAGAATATAAACCAAAAGATAAATCAGTGACTCTTCAATTTCAAAATATATTACAGGCATATGGAACTTTTTATCTTCCAATAAATTTATCATAGTTAGTCTTAAAACCAACATCTTATATAAAACAAAGTGAATATACCAGAAGCCAACAATTTTTTTTAAAAATAAAAACAATTCCAAACTATAATACAAAAAAAGAAAATAAAAGAAGATCCGTACAATTTTTTTTAAATGTTTAACATAAGCATTTTAAATGTACAAATATAACCAATTTAAAAATAAATAAATAATAGTTTAAAAGCATTTTTTCTTTTCAACCATAAATATATCTATAAATTCAATAATAGTTGAAGAGAAAAACTATTCTTATGTCCCATGACATAAGTTTTTTCTCCTACACACCCTTCGATAACTGTGCCACCTTTTTTCTTTTCTTTTCTTTTCTTTTATTTTTCAGGTGGTGGAGCCCACTAGTTTATCTCTATGACATGTGATAACTATCTCCTTTAACATGAGATTAATAAAACCCATAGTTTAAAGTGACCTTTTCATTATGGGACACCAAAAAATTTATCCTCTACCAAATATTTCTTTAAAGTGATATTCAAATAATTTAAATTAATGTCACATAAAACTCGACAAAATCACCACTTTAATATATTTGGAAGTTATTAGAGAACTAATTTGATGTTAACAAATTAATGCCAATTGTATTTAAAAAAAAAAATCTAAATAATGATTCAGTTAGCATCAAAGATATTAACACCTACCCATATTAAGAATAAATTAATCTTATATCAAACATTATTTACTTATAATTAATTTGGTCTAATTAAACAAAGAGTATGCGACAGACTTGGAAATTTTTTATTTTATTATTTTCATTCTGCACGCGATAATTTAGGGGTGTAAATGGGCTGGGCTGGGCTGGGCTTTGGCCATCCTGGCCCAAGCCTACGTAAATAAAAATCTAGCCTATCTGGCCTATTAAAGGCTTTATTTGTAGGCCAAGCCCGGCCCATTTTCAAAAATAAGAAAGCCTGACATGGCCTACAGGCCTTGTAGGCTTCCAACTATATATACTAAGCAAAAAAAATAAATTGTATAGAGCAAAGAAAGTTTCATTCATCCATGCACTAGTACTTCTCATAAGAAAAAGATGACAAACAAGAAAGAGTCAACATAATACCTCAGCTCTAGAATGTATATCATAGAGGAATAAAGTCAAAGAAATGAGAAAAATAAGAAAAATACAATTACTGGATGCTGAAATAAAGTCTACAAGAGAATGTCATTCATTTAAAAATCTTTAAACCACCATCAAGACAAGGGAAAGAAGAGTATTATTGAAAGATCTTCATCAGTAACATCATAATCCAGCAAGGTACCCATTGCTCCATGGTATTAAGCTGCAACAGCATGTAAAATTTGGAAACATTAGACAAGTTTTTCTTTCATAAAATAAAATAGCACAAAAAGTAAGAGATATTGGTATTTAGTACTTTGTGTCTTTGCCACATAAAATAAATATTATTTTTTTATTTTATTTTCATAAATTAAATAGGCCAGCCTACAAGGCTGTAGGCCGGGCTTGACAAAATTGGCCTATGGCCTATTTATTAAAAAAGCTTTTTTATAAACCTAAGCCTACTCTACTTTTTTGAAAGGCCGAGCCTGGGCTGAACTTAATGTAGGCCGGGCCGTAGGCTGGGCGCTGGCCAGCCTGACCCATTTACCCCCCTATACGCGAGATGTCATACAGACATGGATGAAGCATTTTTTTCTTGAAAAAAATAAAAAAAAGTGAAATAAAAAAAAATAAAGGCAAGACACAGTGCGTTGAATCAATACCCCGAAGTGGGGTTTCTTTGACCATGACCGCGTGACGAACCGAACTCTCTGTATTCTGTGTGTGACCATAAAAATATCTTGTTTTCGTTGCGTAGTCGGAACCTTTCCTCCGATCACCGGATAAATGGTTCCGGTCTCCGGTGGCCGGCATCAACACCACTTCGATTCCGACAAGGCATAACCCTTATCTGATTTCATGGATCCTTCTGATTCTCACTCCCAGTCACTGGAACAGGAAGTGCCCAAGAAGAACGGCGTCGTTTTTGTTATACTGCGATGGGTTCTCGCAATTCTATTCCCCTTCCTTTTATTGTTCTCGATTCCCTTTCTGGTTGGTTTGTTGCTTCTCGTGGTCGCCGATTTCTCTATCCCTAACCCCATTTCTCTCCCCTCACAGTGCAAAATCGTCTCCACCGGTTAGTTTATCTTCTACCTTCAATTCAATAACATGCTTAAACTTCTCTGTATGAGTTTCCAAGCTTAGTTTAGTTTCATCCTGAATGAAAATTATGAAATCAATACGCATGAAGTGGGAATTGGATTTTTTTTAAATTTTTTTTTTAGGTTTTTAGATTCAGCTCAGGAAGTAGTGTAGGAAGGTATTAGAAGCCGATGGATCAAGTAGAAGGAGTTGACTAAATTCTTGATTTGGGATATTTGACTTAATTACTTTAGCTGCTACATTGCTTGATTACTTTTTTTTTTCCAGTTCAAAAAGGTTATATTGAACTCCCGAAATGTAGTGTAAAATGCTAGCTTGCTTTGCACAAAACTTGTAATTAGTAAAATATAAATTTTGCTCAGAATATTTGTGTATTTTAGTAAGAAACTTCTTGCTGAAATGAACAATGTTATGCGATTATACAGTTAAGTTCTCTGTTATGGTGAATCTGTTTGTTTAAATATATATACTTTTGAGGGCTCTAAACTGCAGCATTTGAAATTTTGGCAGCTTCGAAAAATCTTATTTCCAATATCAGTGCATAATAGCCCTTATTAAGTTTGTCCAGAAAAAGCTGTACTTATTGTACTTCAATCTTCATAGCTAAAAATGTCTTCATATATATTTTTTTTATTAATAATTTGTGAAAAAGGAAGTCAATTATATATGATGCTTTAAAGTTACACATATCTTTTGTGAGCTAATGATTAATTTGATTTATATTTTTCTGTTCTGATCTTTGTTTGATTGATAATACTCATTTGATTCGATGTTAAGAAGTTTTGCGAAGAATGGAAGGTATTATTGCTTGTTTTACTTCATATTAAATTGCATGTTATCATTTTTCTTACAGGGGTTGATATCAGGTCATCCAAGATTTGTGAACTTGGAATGTTAAATCATAAAGTAAAGGATATATTTCATCATTTTGAAAGAAGCAAATTTCGCTGCCGTTATGATTACTATTGGGCTTCTGTATTCAAGGTTATTATAACTTGTTGCCAATTTAGGTATTGTTTACTATTTTTTAATAAAAGAAGAGATATTATTTTGTAGAAGAAAGACAAGGCACAAGTAATAAGGAAGATAAGATTTTCTCCCATCAATGACTATAAAAAGGAAAATAACATTAACAAACAAGTTTGTTAGTGCAGGAAAGATCTCCAATTCCTCTGCATATCTGCAAGGGATTTTGCCTTAAAAAACCATTTGGCCTGAGTTGATTCTTTATATGGTATCAGATCCCATGACCAAGTGGTCTAGAGTTTGTTTCATGTCGCCCCCATTCTTCTAATAAAAATGTTTAATTTCCATGTCTCAAACCCTGAAAAGAAGAAAAGGCTCTTAGTGTGGTGGGCCTGTAAATTGTCCGTGCCTCAATCCTATAAGTCTCTTATTGTGAGGGGGTGTGTTAAGGGATAACATAATATAAAATAACAAAGGCAGTTTAAACTTCGCAAGGACAGAGAAACACCTTGGAAAATACAAGCATTCCCCTCCATTTGAATACGCCAAAGAACTAAAATTGCTCACTATCTTAAATTTCCCCCCTACTTGCTCGTTAGACACTCTAAAATCAATCAATAAGAACTGCTCCAGACTCAAAAAGACACATCCAATATTCATCAATAATTCCAAATACCTTATCTCAAACAAAAGTAGCTGCAGAACAGTGTGAAGAAAATAGACTGATATTTTGGGTTAGAACTTAGAACCTCACAAAACATTAGTAGTATCAGCGGGAAGAGTTTTATGTGGTCTACGTACCTGTAGCATACTGTAACATTGCTGTAAGTAGCAGTCCTGTTAAGTACCTCTGTCGAAACCAAAGACTTGACTGTTTAGGTTAGTTATTAGCACTAAATAATATCCTTTCTAATCTTGCTTGCCTTGAATGCTTGTCCCTTTTGGTTCAGAACCATACACAGTTTTCTTTTCTTGTCCAAGTCACATTATCTTTGTGTAGAACATGCTACCATATATGACAAGTTGACAACCAATTAATTGTGTATCTGTATGTACATACCTTATCTATGGTCTATCCTCCAATGGTTATGACAACTAGAGGGCTAGGTAATTCTTTTGGTTAGTTATAAATAATTTATGGCAACACTTTTTCAGGTGGAATATAAAGATCACTTCTCAGGTCAGATGCAAATTGCATTTGCAGAGGCTCCAAATGAGGCCCTTCCTATTTATTGCAGGCCTAATTTTGGTGCTGCATGGTTGACGCAATACAAATTTAAGGTGGGGATCTCAACTTGTGGACTTTGATATTATGTGATCAAGCTGAACCTCATTATTGTGTGTAATTTTCATAATGATCCCATATATAGTAAAAGTTAACTATTGTTACCAACTCAGTTGAGGTCTTTGGTAATATTATCTCATTTTTATTTTCTCTTCCTCCTTTAATAGATCAACGAGACTTATGATTGCTGGTACACGTCTGGCATTTCCAAAGTGCATTTATATCAAGAAAATCTTTTCGATTGCCATGCCGATGAGCAGTCTACTCTTGAGAAGATTAGACAATATTCTACCCTGTGAGTACTTTACACTATTTTTCAACCTACCAAATATTTGATTGCTTATTTGCTATGATATCATAGGTTAGATTAAATTAATTAAAATGGCATTGAAGAGTGAGAACTCATAATCTAGCGTTTGTAGATTTAACATTGTCAAGACTTAGCATTTGGGAACTCTGTTCAACTTTTAGTTGGTTTATTTTCAATGTAAACAAACACTTTACGTCTCAGACAAAAAAGACCTTCACCCGGTGTGAAGTTCTTTATGGTGACTCTAAATGAGTGACCAGACTTGTTTATTTGAAGACAGCAAAGAAACTTGCGCATAGCCCAAAGGCTTGGTGGGGATTTAGGTCAAAAACTCAAAATCATAGGTTTAAGTCGTGATAACAACTCCTTGATATATTGAAAAAAGATAATGGGTCAACTAATCCTTTGTCCTTATATAACATTGATAGTTGACATTTTTATTCAACAAGTTCTATGAACAAATAAATAGAAATGTTGTTTCTAGATAGTAGTGTGATATGGAGTCAATTCGCATGTTAAGCCTATCATTTTGAAGAAAAATGTGTGAAAGCCCTACTGATCCTACATGAATTTGTATTCTCAATGGAGGATAGTTTGCTTGGGATGGGGTTGAATTGGTGGGCTCCTACCTTTTATTTCTTGGTCAATATTATATTCTATATAAAGGTAGACAATATGCTATTTCTTTTCCAAGTCATGTATAAATCCAGTGAAGTTTGGGCTATGTCCCTGATAGGATCTGGCAAATTATCAGAGTAAAAGCGCACACAGAACACCAAGCATGGCCCAGAAGAACTGGATTTTCTGATATATTGATTGAAAGTAATTAAGGAAAATACAATTGTAGAGACAATTTTAGAAATAATGGAAGAAGAAAGGAAAAAAATACAAGAAAAGCTAAAAGGTTTTCTGGAGCAATTCGAGAGGCTCCAAATTTCTCTCCCAATCTGGTTTCCCAGCCCAAGAAGTCCCAAATTCCCAATGTCCTTCACACCTTTCACCCTCCCCATCTTATACTAAGTTTAACCTCCTATAATATTCTAAAGTTAGTTATGCCACCTCATTGGTAGAGCATAATCCCCTACAACTCCCCTTACATATACCTACGTATATAATCCTATCAGTCCCATTCATCAAAAAAACTTTGTTGGAAATAAGGTTTGATTGAATAGTGAATTTAATCGGGAGATAATCCAATATAATAATGGGTCAGACCCCCACCCTCTCCTCCTAAAGAAGCTGGTGCTGTTTTACAATTATAAGTTGCTTTTATGACAGTTGAGTATTGATAATCTAATTCCTCTAAATTTATAAATTGTTGATAGTGATTTTTTGTATAGGCATATTTATTATGTTTGAGTAGCATGTCATATAAATATATGTATTTTTATTATAAATACAATATAAAGGTCATGTTGATCTATTATTTATATTATGTATGGATCTCCTATCAGGGCCATGGAGATGGTAAATTCCTGGTTTTCTGGTAAGGGAAGGACGAAATATTGGAGGTGGGAAACTATAGCTGGACTCGTAACTGGGTTCTCAACTTCTTTGATCTCCATAACTTTTATTAGGCTCCTACAACTACTGCTATCTTCATTATATCGATTTTTTGCAAAATGGGCATTCCCTCGGCGAGTCAATGCTGTTCTCATCAGGCGCGCTTGTTTTCTTTTGGCTTACTTATGTTTTGTGGCTTGGTTAGCTATTGAATATGGGAAGAGGCTTGGTCTCCTGGATATTTTCAGAATCCCCATGTAATATTATAATTACAGCAGGTGTTGTCCCATGATAATGAGTGGCGGCACCGTGTAAGGAAGTTATGTAGAGTGGGAATTGAAACTGTAATAGTTTGAATTAAATAGACTCAGTTCCTGTACTTTTCTTTTCAAGTTTTTGGTTAAACTAGTAAGTTTCGGAATAGTGGTTTACATTCTTGTCTTATATCAAATTGCCCACTTGAGTAGCTGTTTGAAGGGATAGTGTGTGTCCCCTACACAGTTGAATTAACACTGTTGTAAAAGCCATTACGATAGCGGAATGAAATTATACTTTATGTTTGTACAAAGTATTTCGAATTTGCGAGGGGTGAGGATTAATCATATCCAATTTTATCCTTGTATGATTGCAAAGAATCCATGGTTTTTCTTTCGCGAAGGAGTAATTTTATTGCATCTCCCAGGCTCGATCAAGAAAGTATTATAATATTAAAATTTAATTTTGATTGAGCGTCATCCAATATTGAATAAACATCTCATTTAAATGAATTTAATCATCTTAATCATTACATAAGGTGATTATTTTGATAAATGGTGTAACATATTATTTGACAGTAAAGTAAATAAAATAAAATTTGATGTATTAATTAAGTTGTTATCTTATTCTGTTCCTAAGTTTTATACTTTGAAATTAAAAGGTACTGCAAAAGAAAATAACTTGATAACAATATCTTTACAAGTAGCAATAGCAACAATGGTGGTGGCAGCAGCTACAACAATAATGGTGATGGTAATAGTTGTAGCCAGTGGCATTGGTAGCCATGAGTCCATGACGATTTTGAAAATGTTAAGAGTGGTGGCAGAAGTGGTAGTTGCAATAAGCAATGGGTACAGTGGCAATGACAGTGACAGCAATACTAGGGATGGCAGATGGGCTGTGGAGGATGATATTCTTGTTACTTAAATAATTTTTATTATGAATGAAACGAGCATTCATTTAAATTTGGAAGGATTGGTTATTTTATATATTTGAAAAAAAGAATTGATAGGATTAACTTACACCGATATAAGAATATCAAGTTTTACACCAAATTTTAACCGTTGATTTTCGTGTATGTAACAGTTAAGATTTTGAGTCATAATAATTAATTAATTAATACTACCTAATAAATTCTTAACCGTTAAATACATGAAAAATAATAGTTAAAATTTGATGTAAGATTTTTTATTCTTATATCGATGTAAAAATATCTTCCCAAAAAGAAAAATGCGGGTACCATGGTTATTGCTTTATAGAAGTAACTTATAATAAATTTAAGAAGGCAAGAAAAAGGGTTCGATATTGAAGTACATGAAATGGGCTACAATTATGTTTTACTTGTTTGAAGATGAAAATAAATGAGCACTACTTTTGATACTTGTGAAGATGGTAGGTAGAATAGAAAAAAAGTAAAACCTTAAGTCGTGAATTTTGCTTCCGCAAAGTTTAAAATTGAATTCGTCATCTAACAATTTATTTAGCTGAGCATCTACACAACTAAGGGAAGCGAGTAATAGCGGTATAGAAGTTACAAGAGTTACGTACTCTTATTCAATAAAGATACTCAATAAGCAAAAATAAAACCAGATGGAATCTACAGGCCAAACACTTGTTATCGATGATAATATGCTTAAGAGTTAGTCTGCTAGCATTTGAACATTTCTTACAATCCTAATGATGTTTAGGTTTATAAATACACTAGACTTTAGAATGGCTTGGCTGCACACAGATTCTGAGAACACCTTGTTTTAATTTATCAGGTTCATTTCTATGGCACCTGCTTCTCAAATCTCTAATAACAGTTAGGTTTAACCAGATACATTGTCATACTAATAAATCAGAGATTCCATGCATTTATATTTTGCTAAGAGACTCCATAAGTCACTGTGGTAAGGTTTTCTTGTCATAGCATGTCTGAGCACTGCATTGTTTTTGAGGAGGATGTAGTAGGAAAACAAAACATTAGATCTTTCCAGTTTCTGATAGAATTCTTTCAATTTCTTCTAGGAGGCGCTCTTTTTCATCTGCCAAGTCCTCGTTCTGCTTCTGAAGGTCCTCTATCTGCTTTGTTTGTTCAGAATCCTTCCTGAAAATTTGTAATGTATGACGTTAATATATCAATTTGTATATACATTTTGTATACGAAGTTTAACAGTTAATAGGCGATCAAATTGTGATACATGCGTATGCAGCCACTTTTCACATCCTATTAATACACTGCAAATGAGGAAACAAGCTTTAAAGTGGAAGAGTGGTCTGTGAAATTATCCTTAGCTGTTAAAGTCCTTGAACACTTTCCTAATACTATCTGTACTTATTATATCCCTTTTTTTTTTTTTATACCGACCCCAATTACTTCTTTTAGGCGAGTCGGCTCTCGGGCATTCCACAAGCTTCAACTCTTTGAGCCGGTTATGAGACTAATTCCGAGTCGAGGCTTAGCACAGTTAAAGTTCCTTGCCCCTCCCTAAAGATGTATTTGGTGGCTCCCCACTCTACTCAGTCTGTGTTGCCAATTTGAGTTGCCAATTTGAGTTACACGCGTTGGGTTAACTCTACTCTTTCTATACTGTTATTGACTTATTGTAGTCAATCCAGGAAAAAAGATACCAATATAGGGACAGAGAGTGGAGGCAAAAAAGAAAAGGAAAAAAAAGAATCCAACGTATTATCTAATATTTATCTTAGTATGCCCTTAATTTTGATTTGCTTTGATTACCTATTCATGAAGGACAAATTAAGTTTTAGTGATCGAACTTCCTTCTCAAGGTTTTCACACCGCTTCAAGACAGCTTGCATGTCTGATGGAACTGAAGGTGTCAAATTTCTTTCCTTTGCCTCAGCCATTCTGCATCACAAAGGTTAATAAAATAGTTTGTAAGTTGAAACAAGCATCCAATACAATATTTGATAGAAAGAGACTCTCTTTTCTGTTTCTTGGGATACTTTTACATACTTCCTTGAGCGTTCCACCCTACGCTTTTTTGTAGTGTCCCCCTTGTCCCCTGTACAAACATTTGGTTAGAGAGGGACCGGGATAGTCAAATTGTGAAAAGAACAACTAAAAATTCTACTCAAACATTTATTATAATTTTCTCTACAGTTTTGTCAGGCCAAGATAATTATATCATGTAGTATGTGTGATATTGAACAGAAGGTAAAAATTGCAATCATGTTAAATCTTAGTTCTTCCAATACTTAATCTGCATGTACTCCTTTATTCATGAACATTACATCAAGAGCATCTAGCAAGTTCTTTGACCTAATAAAAAAAATGTCTATTCTTCTAGATTTTACCAGATACAGCTATTAGCAAATTTATTATTACTAAGATGATGGATTTACAATTATCTAAATCTATATGATGTGGTAGAAACTAGAACTAAATCATGAGAAAAATTGTTGTCACTAATATGGTAAAAGTTGCAATCATCTTGCAGTGGAAGTTTGTCTTTTTTGTGGATTCTTGCAGGCTACTAATTTTTTTATGCTGTTTTTATATTTTTATTCACAAAAGTTGCTCAGAAAACCTGAGTTTTCTAAAATTAAGATAAAAATCTTCAGAACGGATCAAGCAATAAAGAGAATCAAAATTCTATTGTATGTGTTAAAGCACAATATCTCCATCTAATCTAGAAATAAATGGTTACCTGAAACAGCTGATGTCACAGATCCATATCTCTCTAGACTTCTCTTCTGCACAATTTAACGAGATTAACCCCCCAAAAACAAAATAGATAGTCAAATTCTCTCCGTAAAACCATAAATTCTAGAGAAAATAAGTTACTATCTAAGAGTAGGTTATACCTTCCGATCATCTTTCAGATTATCCATTATCTGTTCTCTGAAACCTACATTTCAGCCAAAACACAATTATAGGGTAATAAAAAGAAGGGGGAAATTTGTAACCAAAAATAAAATAAAATAAGGGAAAAACAATTCTTATGCAGCATGAGAAGTGTTTTCTCATGTTAGAAGACTTCGATTTGCATGCAAAGTTGGCCCATTAGTTGAGTCACAACATGAGGTAATAATTCTCGTGCAACATTTGAAAATCAAAGCTCTAAAAAGAAATGGACATTGTTTGAAAAGTTAAATAATCAAGAAACATTTCTGTTCTAGTGTTCTGACCTAAAAATGATTCTTGAGTGCCAAATATGATTTTAAAAGAAATCAGACATAATTATAGTGGGGACTCCAAGTTTGTACTCACTGCTTTGGGGGATTGTTTTTCACATGAAATACTACCAAATTGAATTGATTCAATTTCTGCACTTAATGTTCCATCCATATTGCATTTTTCAAAATTTGAGAATTAAGCAAGAAGTTAAAAGAATGGCACAAAATGGCTTCGTTTGCTTATACCAAAATTCAGTGTCATAATATTTGATAGACTTCATACAACCTGTATAAGACAATAGGAGAAAAAACATTTTGGACTGAAGTGAATATTTATAGATAGAAATACCAAAGCAAATGGATATGATGAAAGATGTCCAATGAACAATGGTTTAGGCAAACTGAAACAACTCCATCATCATGTAATATTTATACCTTTGACTTTATTTTGAGTATTTTCTGAACTTCTACTCACTCCTACTTGTTTCCATGAGCTTTCACAGAGAGTTTGATTTGAATTGCTGGGACCTTCACATGCATCCAAACCTGAGGACATTACTGGTGCAGCAGCAGAGGATTCACTTTGAGAAGGTTCTTGGGAAGCTGTTCCCACATATACTTGGTTTGTCTGATTTGCAAAGCCATCGAAGACGAGGTTTATAGATCCTTCAAGTGTTTGCAGGGCCCCAGGATCCTTAACTTGACCACTTGAGGCTCCTTGAACATTTATTGGCTTTTGATAACTCCAGTTTTCTTGTCCTTCATTAAAACCAGTTTGGTAAAGAGGTTCTTGAGGGAAAAAATGTCCATTTAAGCTATCTTCAGCTTCTTTCTCAACATGGCTGCTGAGTCTCTTTGCTTGTAATGTACCCTTTAGCATACTTACACAGGATGAAACTTTATCTGCATCAACCAATTGATGTGTGTTGAAGGTAGACGAAGATGAGTTGGATGGAGACATGAATGAACCCTTTTGGCTTTGAAGTTCACACATTGAAAGGTAATCAAAACCATTTAAATTTGCAACTTCTTGTCTTATAGTGTCAGCACCTTGGTGAGGGGCCATTTGCATGGATTCCATTCCTTGTATTGCTTGAGCATTTTGCATTTCAGTATACCTCCGCCTGCAAAGAAATCTTGACAAATTAGTGGTTTGAGATTTCTCTCAAAACATTTTACAGTAACTCACAATAATAATGAAGTAGTATAAATCTAAAGCTTCAGAATCTAATGTATGACTTTTGTATGAACGTGACAATGGAAAAACCAACAGATGAACTAATATGGTGCAAGGTGTGATAATGATACCGCAATTCAGAGGACCGGCTTCTTGTCACTCGTTGCTCACTAAGAAACCAAGCCTGCATTAATGACGAGACATCAAATGACCATGAAGCTTCATTGAACTAAGGCTTCAGCAAAGAGTTTGATATAAACAAACCTTGGCCAGAAACAAATTACTAGATTGCAGTTCTCTATCAACAGGATCTCTGATGAAAATTGACACCAAACTAAGTTAGAAATACTGAACTACTTTCTCAATCAAATAAATAACTGTATTGGTGACAAGGCAAACTACAGTAAAGATAATTAGAAGGAGCAATAAACTCCTGTGAAGAACCAATTCAACCCAATAGCTTAAGCTGTTGGATGAGAGCCTTTTTAATTATTTATACTATTCTCTAACACGCCCCTCACACGATGTTTCACTGACATCGACACAGAACACGGGACACAATACGACATTCTTACACGTTAATTCTAAAAAATGTTAAATTTCAATACGTTAAAATACGTTTTTGATATATTTATGCAGTGTATATTATATTTAATATTTAACAATTTAACAAAAAAATGAAGCTAAACTTATAATACTCATCAATTTTGCAAAGAAACATAAGATATCGCAAATATTTATATTAAACTCAATAAAATGGTAATCGTAATCCAACGAATCTAATAGTTGTAACGAAAAACGCAACGCAGCACAATCTTTGAACCCTTTTTTGAGTTTCTGCAACGCGTGTTGGAGTGTCGGGGAGTGTCAGACACGACACGTCAGGTTTTTTGAAGTGTCAGTGCATCATAGCACACAAGAGCTCACTGGATTTGAAGGGTGGGTAATACATTAGACCCAGCCTACCTATACTAAAAATTTTTACAAGACTAGCAATAATATAATTTTTTTTTTTTTTGGTAAAAGCAATAATATAAAATTATATCAGATGCTACTTGTCACTAAAATTGAAACAGAAGACTAAAAGACATGTTAGTGAATGACATCAACCAAATTATTTCCCCCTAAACTATCAAGCCACCACTCACCAAGGGTTACTACAGTCAAGGTTAATTTCAACGTCTGAATATACAAAATTCATGCTATAGTTTAGATGTACAGCAAAAAAAGAATATCGTGCATCTTCTTCCAAGCCTAAGGGCGACATTTTTTCTCTCCAACAAAACCACCTTCCCACGAATGTACTTCCACCTGCCAAAGCATCCGTGAAGATGTGCCTGCTGCTTATCCTACTATGCACGTCCTACTCCGCGAGGCATTTTCTTGGAGGACGAGTCTTCAACATCTTTAATCTTGTAATAGTGGGGGGCTATCTCCACCAACCACTCTGGCTTTAATTCCGTAACCTGTCTCATATATTCCTTGGTTGTGAGTACTAGTTCATGGTATACAACCCATCTAGGAAGAACCAGTGCCAGCCCAGAACTAGGATGTATTTGGACAGTCTGTTGAGGTTTAACAGTCCGATACAATCCATTCTTTTGCAGTCGTGCAGAGTGTGGGAAAAATCCAGATGTTATGGATTTCTTGATGGCATCTAAATCATTAGAATTTGAACTTGGCTCAATCTCAACACTCTCCAAAAGACCTGCAAGTTGATCACGGATATCCCTAGCCCGTTTCATACTCCTTACCTGTATAAAATTTTCATAACACCATTGTGTTGAATAATTGGTTTCCTTCCATGAACTGTAGACCTTTAGCAAAGCAATATGATCTCCAACATTTCCAGTGTGAAAATTCATCCTTGCATTGTCTGCATGTACTTGTTTACCCTTTGGACGGTAAAATATTGAGTTGCCAACAGAAAGCATAGCAGCAATAGAAATGATATCATCGGAACAATTATACTTTTTTGAAGCCACTATCATTTTTGACAACATAGGATCAAGTGGGAACTCTGCCATCGATCTACCTACCTTAGTTAACTCACCACGCTTGTTTAATGCACCTAATGCATATAGAAGCTCCAGGGCTTTCAACAAGGCCTCAACAGGTGGAGGATCCATAAAATCAAAGTGAAACAAGTCACGAATACCAAGACTTTTTAAAGTCAAAACTACATTTGCAAGATTAGTCCGCTGTATTTCTGGTACTGTATTCTCATCCAAATCATTGTGAAAACTGTATGCAGTATACAATCGGAAGCACTTTCCAGGACCTGTTCTTCCAGAACGACCAGCTCTCTGCGTTGCTGAAGCTTTTGATATGGGAGTTACTAACAAGGACTCCATTCCTGTTCTTGGATTATAACTTTTCGTCTTACAGAATCCTGGATCAATGACATGATCCCATCAATTGTCAATGATGTTTCTGCAATATTAGTAGCAAGTACAACCTTTCGTGCCCCTTCAGGAGTGGGTTTAAATATATTAGCTTGTAGCTCAGTTGGTAGGTTAGCATATATAGGGCATATTATTAACTCATCAATTTTAGTCCCCAAGCCTCTAGTTCGAAACTTCAAGATTTCTTCAGCCGTTTCAATTTCTTCTTGACCAGTAAGGAATACCAATATATCTCCAGGAGGTTGAGTGACATGGATTTGAAGTGACGTTACAATAGCCGCATCTAAGTAGTCAGCTTCTGGTGCTTTGGTAAAGTTTATTTCAACAGGATACCGTCTACCTGGAATTCTGAATATTGGAGCATAATCAAAGTATTTCCTGAACTTCTCTGCATCAAGTGTAGCACTTGATATCAGCAACTTAAGATCAGGCCGGCCACGGGATATATCCTTTACTAATCCAAACAAAATATCAGTTGAGAGAGTTCTTTCGTGAATCACAACACTATAACTTGCCAGCTTAGGCTCACGAAGGAATTCCCTCAGTAACATTCCATCTGTCATATATTTCAGTATAGTCTTCTTTGATGTGCAGTCCTCAAAACGAATGGAATAACCAACCTCATGTCCTAGTTTAACAGCCATTTCTTGAGAAACTCGAGCAGCAATGCTCATAGCAGCAACACGCCGTGGCTGAGTACATGCAATCATCCCACGTTTTGTGTAGCCAGCTTCATGAAGATATTGGGGAATCTGTGTTGTTTTTCCAGAACCAGTTTCACCCACAATTACAAGTACCTGATGATCATTAACAGCTTGAGGAATTCATCCCGATAAGCGTAAATGGGTAACTTTTTCCTCTCCTCCTGAAGAGCATCTGAAGCTGACTTTGCTATGGACTTTTCAAGTGAATCTTCTATCTTTTCATAATCAAACTTATCTCTGTCCATCACTGATGCCTTGATAAAATCAATCTGTTCCTCAAACACAAACTGATAGTCATCAGATTCTTGTCTTTTATTTTTTGAACCAAACTTCAGCGTTGCCTTTCCAATTTGATGTTCCTCCCGTGTCCCTTGTTCAGCAAATGGATTCATCTTATCCTCAGCGCCTGGATCTCTGTAACGCTGCACAGCCACAGAAAATCGCTTCTCTTGATTAACACCACCTTCCTGATCATAAGCATCTGGCATTCTATACTCATTCACATTGTCAGTCTCCTCTGACGGCTTTGCAAGTTCAAATATCTCTTTCTTGTACCTAAGCTGTGTATATTCTGCTTCTGAAAGCTTCTCACCTCCAAATAGATATTGCTCATCTTCTATATAGTCTCTGAGTTCTTCTAATTTTTTCCGTGTTCCTGCTGCATATCTTTTTTTCCTATGTTGCTCTAATTCCTCCTTCTTCTCTCTTTGATCTTTCAATCTTTCTTCTTCTTCTCCTTCTGACTTAGGGGAAGTTCGTCTTTTAACTTGTCTCTTCCTTTCCTTTCTTGAAATTACCTCATCATCTTGAACTCGTGTTTTCTTCCTGAAACGTTTCTTACGACTGTCTACCTTTCTGGAAGATTTATCTTCACCACCAACATAGTCATCATCAGCCTTCAAAATTGTGTAAGACTTGTGCTTCCTCACCGACATTGCAGCTTCTCTCTCTTGTCTCTGATATTGATTTAAGCCCATTGATTTACGAGGAACTCTCGAATAAATTTCTTCCGCGAATGAATGAATATCTATAGACGAGACCCCATAATCTGAAAGTTTGCCCACCAAATCGGTTGGTGAAGTAGCTTGCTTGGATAGCCCAATCATGCAATCTACAACTGTGGGATGAGAATATCCCAGCAGTGACATCAATTTATCCGATACCCATGTCTTTAGATTGTCATCACTCCCCATTGTCAATAGCGTTGAACGGAATGGAATGGAAGAGGTCTAGGGCAAAAACAAGTCCACGGCGAAAGCTAAGCCTTTTTAGGGTTTGTAGCGAGGAAGGGGAATGGGGGAGCGTGTTCGGATGAGTGCTTCAGATCGGAGGCAAAAAGGAAAAGGTGAGAAAACGAGAGAGGAGAGATGGAAAGTAGAAGAAAACCCTTCTCTCGGTGTGTGTATGTGTACGTGTATGTATGTGAGGAATGTCAGAGAATTTTGGACGCGTTTGGTTAGACGGAATTAGGGTGAATCCGTGTTCGATGAAGGAGATTTGATTTGGGTTTCAGCGCGAAGAATTGGGTACGTGCATTATCCACCGTCAATAGCCTCTTATATAGCGTGTCAGCGAATTACGAAATCATTAATGCAATCCTACTGCTTAAAATTCTTAGGTTAATTAACTTTTTACAACTAGCGATGGGCTGGATTAGGTTAGGTTAAATATTTTAGATTTATCTTGATCTAATAATTTTGTGTAGATCAAAATTATAAGTCTGATTTGATCTATATTTAAAAAATGAAAGTTGTTATCAAAAAAAAAAAAAAATGAAAGTCTTGACCTAAGTCTGTTTAAGTCTTGTTATGGAATATATCCATATCCTAACTATTTATCCAAGAATCTCTCAAAGGATAATGACCCAATTAGTCTAATAGCTTAAAACAATAAAGATAATGAGGATAGAATTTTTATCCTTACAGAAAAGGAGTTGAATCCTACTTCAACTGGGATATTTATAAAGCTAACCCTTATAAATACAAGGCTTAAGACCCCCTATACACACTTTCTAACCTATTTACTATTGCTGTCAATACTGTAGACACACTCACGTATTGGCTATAAGCCTATTGTTTGTGCATAGTGATTGGCTTATTGGCTATAAGCTAATATAGATACCTATCTCTAAGATATCTGAGCACATATCATTCAATATAAGCTTATTGGCTTATTGGCTATAGACTTGTTCTTCGGGACCGAACAAGTCTATTAGGCATTCAATAGTTTAAAAAATAATTAAAATAATAATTATATATATATATATATATATATATTATTTAAAATAAAAAACATTATATAAGATAGCATTTAGACTAATAGATGAGACATGTAAAATAAAATAAAATAAATATTATGATATGCTTTTTAAATAGATTTTTTTAAAAGTCTTTGCATATTCTATTTGATTATATATAATAAGTTAAATCTGACCTAATGTAAACTGGATTATGCCCCTTGTTGACTCATGAAAACCCATTTACATCCGTGTAAGTACAATTCTATGCCAGGAATGTCAAATCCCATGAAATGAAATAAGGTTTGTAAATATTTCATAAGTATAGCTGTTTGTGGAAGACTACTGCAATTACCTGATTGGAAAATTGAAATCACCTGAAACGTCATTGGCCAAAAGGTTATTTTGTATGTATGATTTATCATTGTTTCTTCCCTCTGAAGCTACGCCAACATGTTGCTGATTAGACACATTAGCTAGTTCAGTGGACATCCTGCAGTTACAAGTTACAACTGAGTCTCAATATCAAAACAGGACATGAATCAGGACATGTGCATCAGTAATTATGTGAAGTGCTCCCAAGAAAACTTAATAATTCATGGCATAAATATATAAAGAAAAGTTAAATGACAGGTATTAAACTATTCAACTCGAGGTTCTAGTTGCTCTATGCTTGTATTATTATTATTGAAACGATTATCCACTAAGCACTTGCACAGGGTAAAGGATCAAAAGGAAAGCCTTAATTATTTGCAACTGAAATCTTGATTAACACTATCATGATGGAAATAACCAGAGTACTCTTGAAATTCACCAATTAATAGTTTTGCAAAATGTGCATCTTTCACTAACATACTCACCTCTTTGATAATCGACTGTTAAGTCCTATGCTTGGTGAATTGTATCCCTGATTTAGAAAAAAAAGATACATCAATTGAAAGGAACTATAATCAGAAATGTAGCAAAGGAAAACATAAGGTTAGCAATACAAGTTCCATAGTCAGATGAATGCCTATATAGCATTAATGCCATCATCAAGAAAACTGAAGGCATGCAATATAATATTGTCTATTTGCAGATATTACTGCAGTACTTAAAATTGAAATCAGATCAACTAAATATCAGAGTAAAATAATTCCACTCTTAAGATGAATAAAACTTTGTTATTTAATTGTTGCTTCCTGGTAATCCAACCTTATAAATACTCTTTAGATAAAACCAAATTGACTTTGTTTTATCATGGTTGAAGTGTTTGACATGTTATAAGGATAATATATGTTCATGATTTGTGTAAAGAACCAATTCAACCCAAGAGCTTAAGCTGGTGGGTGAGGCCGTGAGGGTCTCTTTAATGATTTATACTATTCTCTAACACGCCTCCTCACAAGAGAGCCTATTGAGCTTGAAAGCTGGATGATGCATCTAGTTAAGCCTACCTGTGCTAAGAAATTTCATAAAGAAAATTAGGGACAGCGAGGATCGAACTAGGGACACGAGGCTTTGATACCATGTAAAAAACCAATTCAACCCCAAAGTTTAAGCTGGTGGGTGAGGGCTTTTTAATGGTTTATACTATTTCCTAACACGTCCTTTCACACGATAGTCTATTGGGCTTGAAGAGTAGATGATGTATCAGACTCAGCCTACCTATGGTAAGAAATTCCACAAGAGAAAGTGAACGGTGGCGAGGATTGAACACGTGACACCGAGGCTCTGATACCATGTAAAGAACCAATTCAACCCAAAAGCTTATGCTGTTCGGTGAGGGCCTCTTTAATGGTTTATATTATACTGTAACAATTTGTTTTTCTTTGCTTTATTGGTTTATGTTCAACCAGTGATCCTTTAAATTCCGCAAAGGAAAGAGAGAAACCAGTGGACCTTGATATTTCAAGTTTCAATTAGGAATTTTCCAGCACTGTTAGAAGTGGAAAATAAAGCCTCATTATGGTACTGGAATGTGTTTCTATCTTAGTCTTACAAAGCAAGAAGTAGAAGTCTACCTCTTTACCTTCTTCACGACCATTTGACATGTGATATTATCCATATCTACAGCTTGTGTATTATAATTTAAGAAGACAAGGCCAACTAAGGACAGATTTTTGTCAGAAGTACTTTCATCGCTATATGATGAGAATAACCTTCATTTCACAGCAAAAAAATCTTACCGCAATGAAATAAAGTATTAAGAGCAGAAGAAGAGAATCAGCAATGAATAAAAGTTTATTTTCTCACCTACCATGGCTTATATCTAAACAATAAGCAATAAGTAATTAATAAATCAGCGAGGCTCGTGAAAGGCAGTATTCATTCTGAGGGCTACAATTTGAACAAAGTATATGCAAACACACTCGATTTGTACAGATTAGGCATTCATGTAATCAATTCAAAAACCAGTAACACTAGGTTGCATTTAATTATAGAGGGTGTTTCACATATTTGTTTGGTAGAGAAGGAGAGGGACTCATTGGAGGTAGAGATTTCAAGGAAATCTGAGCTACACCCGAAAAATATAAAATCATCTCACAAATTCTTGGATCATATCATGAGTGAAATCTGGAAAAGTGGGACTGAGGTTACTAGTTGACTTTCTATGCTTCTGATTATAGTCAACTAGTGTATGTGCTCAAATATATACAAGTCAGATATATAAAGTTCAGGAATTCTTTCATAAACTTCAAAAGAAAAGATATGTGTCAAGCAAACTGGCATCAAGGAAATTTTCTACTTTGATCTTATATTTGAAACAAGCCAGAACAGAAACAAGAAGGAACAAAGTAACATGATCATATTCACATGTCATATAGAAGCTTGCCTCTCCATTTGTTAGCCAGCGTTTGAAGAGCTCCTCACTGTCTGCACGAAAGCTCTGAGAAACGCCCTTGAAACTCAACATCTCCACCGTAGGTACTGGCACACCAATAGGGCTCTCCATCACAGTCTTCAGGAACAACTCCTCACTTGAATTCTTGTATAAGCCAGAAAATCCTCTTCCTTCCATTTGCATGTGGCTTCCCCAAGCCCTACCCTTCTTTGATCAATCACTTAGATTCAGTTTTCAACTCAAGTTTGGCTGAGGACTTAGATTCAGAAAAGAATACCCTGCTCTAAAACCAAGGAAATCAATAGTTTATTTCAAACCTATAAAAAAATTCAACCGCACAACCAAATTATTTGAACTCTGTCTACCTAGCTATTATTCCTTCAAAAAAAGGAAAGGAAAAAAGACTTGATCATTATCATTTCACAAACTGTTTTATCCTTAAAGCATAGCAACTAACATGCAATAAAGGAACAGTTCCCTGCAACAATTTTACACGAGAAACTTCAAAGAAATCTTGCATAGAACAGTAAACTCTATGTTAAAACTTAGCATTTACTTTGTTTAATGAGCAAACTTACTAGTAAATAGTTTATCATTAAAATAAAATAAATATCAAAGCAGTGGCATCTAGGAGTGAAAAAAAATACTCCAAAGATTCTGCGTACCATTCATTTGTCTCTTATTTACAACCAAAGCGCAAATCTTGCGGCAGTAAATATACTCTTCAACTGTTGGATTGGAAACCGCGTGGAAAATTTAATGGGCAGGTTTAAAACCGAGAAAAGTTTGTAGCTTTTGAATCAAGCAAAGGGAATCATTATATTAATTTAATGACAATTTGGTCATGTTAAGTACTAAACAAATGCCGCAGGTGATGCAATTGGGTGATGGCACTGTGACAGGGACGTTAAGTAATATTCATTGGTTGTTTTTGGATTTAAAATAGGAAGCTGTTCACATGGCGCTTTCATGGTTGGCTAAGCACTGCATCAACGTTCGTTCAGCTCACGTCCTTGAATTTAATGTCTTTAAATTTATAGAAACATTAATTTAATTTTTTAAACAATTTAACGATTTTAGACGAGGTGTAATCCACACACCATTTTTTTTTTTAAGAAAAAAAAGGACTATGAAATTAATTAATTACAATGACAAAATTGATAGGACCAAAAATCATATAAAAAATTGAACATTGCTAATAAATATCCTTTTTCTTTGGTGAGTGACCAACTCTGGAATTTGTAGCTCTTCCCCTTGGTCATGATAGACATACGATAAAAAAAATTGTGCGTAATTCTCCACATGATGTTATATTGGACAACTTAAAAGATAGCTAGCCAAAATAGTAATAATTTTTTCTTTTATAAGTAAATATTAATAATTCAAATGTACAACATTCACCCATTTATCCTGATTTGTATAATATATAAAATAGAATGATCCGTTTACAATTTTTTTTAAAAATTTTTACAAATTACATCATATACTCCCAGGAGTACATAATGGAACCTAGTGTACTTCCAGGAGTACATAATGTAGTTTGTAAACAAAAAGTTTGTAAATATAACTCTTCCCATAAATAAGATGTGTTTTTTTTTTTTTACTTTCTCCACCGATTCGATTAACTAACTAATTTGATCGAGCCGATTAAGATCAATGGTTAAACTTGAACAATTTCGTCTCAGGTGATCCACATGTTTGATAGTTGTTGTTTTTCTTTTTTCTTTTCTAGACTACTTATTAAGCTGAAACAACCACGTGCTAATTGATCTACAAATGATAGTGATTTCACTATAAGAGAAAGTTCTAATGATCTCGATGAAAATAAAAAATACAAGCATTTGTGGATAGAATGAGAAAATTGTTATGGATTAAATTATAAGAAATTGTTTCAATCCAAAATGAATATTTGTGTGAACTTTTATCTTTTCTAAATCATGGGTTATGTTGGAACAACCCCTTGGTGTGGTCTTTTTTTTTCTAATGTTTCTTTTTCCCCTCAATTCCCCTAAATCGAGAATTGGAGGGAAAGAAAATAAGGAATGATCATAGATCTAAGATTAACAATGCAGAACAATGATGTACGAAGGAATACAATGAATATGAATATTTAAGATCATGCCTTCACCAAGTGAATTTGTAACATAGTAAGTACAAGATGTGAAAAGAATCCTCTCAATCATTGAATTGTGGTTATAAATATTTCCATACCCAATTTTCCACAGTATAAAATAGGAGTGCATATAACGCAGTAACAAACAAATATGAACATACAACTGAAAGATTATTATATAATACAGCGATACATCAATTATGGAAACATATTAAAACAAATAATTATATCACCCGCAGCCTGGCTACTTGCAACCCCATTTTTGGTTACTTAATTCATTAGAACAGGAAGAACATGACATGGTTAAGCACTCACCTATTCATGCAACTCATGCAAGCAAAATAATTGATATACTAGAGGCACCCTTCATAGCAATCTCAATAAGTCTCTAAATAAATATTAACCACGCAGATATTTGAACTTTGAACATAAGAAAATATCACGTGTCTTCACTTGTTTGTTATTGTATGTTTGTATATTGAGACAAGATTTAAGCTTCTGGTTTCTTGATAAAATTAGAGCTATAATGAACGTCCTTGTATGTCACAACCGTTATGGTAATGTGCGTATTTAACTATTGAAGCAGGGAGAGAAGAGAAGGAAACTTAAAATAGAGAATATATTACCTATCATGCAGGCATAACTAGTGAAACGAAATAGACAGACCTTGATTGATATTATATTACTGTGAACTTTTAATATCAGAGTCAAACTATGAACCGGCATAATGAGAGGGAGTATTTGGTTGATTCGGCAATGGTTACCCAATTTTTTTAGCAAAAAAGAGAAGGGTGCTCTTTTTGAAGATGTGATAGGCACTGAGAGTTGAGACTTGAGACTCATGATTAATTATTTAAGTAATCACTAATTACAGGCTCAACTCTAGATTAGTCGGCACGGCAGCATTTTGTTTGATTGGTGACCAAAGGTTGACATATAGAACAGTGTCTATCACTATTGACAATTTTTTATTTTATTTCTATATTATAATAACTTATTTTTAATAGGGTACTTATACGAAAAAAGTTTTAACTTTGTGCCTATCTATACAAATGCTTTTAACTCGCTTCTTATGTTATTATTATAAAATCATTCATTGGAGTTATAACATATTAAGTATAGGAATCAAATTAAAAGAAATGTCACATATAAACCAAAAATGTTATTTTTTTTAGTCTCACAGTAATTCTATGTCACTCTTATAGTATTATAACAACTACGGATAACTGGGACAAAATTGAACTTTTATAAGTTCATTACTTACCCCTTTCATTCAACAGCAGTAACCGTTTTCAAGTCAACAGGCAGAAGCAATTTGAATTTTGCAAATTTTGCTCTGTAGCAACAGTATCTATTCATAGGCCGGACTCATTTTTTATTTTTATTTTTGTGGCTTTCTGATTCAAATTTAGAGTTATCCAAACTTTTTATTGACAATGGACAGAGTACCCCATAACAAATATGTACCCCAAATTGCATGACAGTTTAAGTTTGGATTTATGCAACAAGACTTTGCCAAATGCAACAAAAGTTTAGTCGGACTTAGCTGATCTCACATTTTTACTCACTACAAACCTCCTGAAAATATGTATTTGTATATGACCGGATACATTGCACAATTTTTATTTTATTTTATAGGTAACAGGATCAAGAGTATGCTACAAGCAATAACTTATTATGATACTTGCAAATAATTTATCAATAAAGGACCCCACCAACAATATTTAAATCCAAGATGTTGAGTCAAAATTGTTCGATTTAGTTAGTTACACCAACCCATTTTGGCTAGTGATGGAGACTTTTTTGGGTCTCACACTATGGGGGTATATATAATGCATGGCCATTTTGTGCAAAGTACCAATGCTGGAGGGACTTTAGGCATTGGGAGGAGATCGTAATAGACATCTTTCTTATCTTATCTTTCCTCACTAACATAAATTAGGAGGTAAAGAACTGGCTCACCATTGAAACATTCCAACAAGAAGAAAAATCGAATAGTAAAACATAATGAAGAAACCATCAATATAACCAACAAATTTCCCATAACTGGATTACAATTCTTAATTCACACATACAAAAAACAATCCTACATCTTTCAGAGTTTGTTACAGCATCATCCGGCTTTACCCAAAATGTTGTATAGTGCTAACACCATAAGGGAATCTCAAAACAGTTAAGAGGATGTAACATTATCAACAATTTAAAGCTAGTATATCTCATCATCAGGGATATCTGGGTTTAGGAATTTCTTAGGGTCTTTACTCATTTCTTCATAGTTTAGAGTTGCTTTCACCCTTTCTGGTACTGGCTCAAGAGGGATGATGCTATCTCTATCTATTACACCATCAATAATTCCATATTCAACAGCTTCAATTGGAGACATGTATCTATCCCTATCAATATCTTTCTGGACTTGTTCAAATGAGCGACCAGTGAAGCCTGATATGATTCTTGTGATATTATTCTTGTTGTGCATAACTTCTTTAGCCTGAATTTCTACGTCTATAGCTTGTCCACTAGCACCTCCAAGAGGTTGATGAATCATAATTCGTGTATTGGGCATAGCAAAGCGCTTGCCTTTGGTGCCACCACCAAGGATCACGGAAGCAGTTGATGCTGCAATTCCGAGTGCAACTGTGGAAACATCAGCCCTCACAAGCTGTACGGCATCATAGATAGCCATTGTAGCACTAAATAAATAATAACATCCAAAATAAATCAGCTGCCAAAAAGGATGCAAGGCATCAAACAGAACAAAAGATTGCAATGAAAAACACACAATACAGAAAAGTTAACTAATCAATAACAGTTTGCATATACACCTAGGGCACTCCTTTGAAGCAATCATAAGATAAGAGCGATGCAGAAGCTAAGACAACCACTTTATCCCATAAAAGATGCCAACGCAAGTCGCTGTTCTTGAAAATTCTAGCATTCCTTTCCAACTATTATAGACACCAAATAAATAATAGCAAAAATAGTACACATCAAAGGGCCTTGCCCAAATTATTTTCAACAAAGAATCTAAGTCTCTATGTCCTAAAATCTCCTAAACTGAAGTATGTGAGAGATCAGTGATTTCTTGAAGAGGACAGGACATCTTCAGATTTGGGGAATAGAGGACTTGAATAATTTTACAAATAATTTGGATATGTCAGCAGGCATGATGTTCACATACTACTGGGGCTAATTTCATTACAAAATAAACAGGATAAAGCAAGGTGGTATGATGCTAATGAATGTACCACCAGAGGAGGGAAAAGTTACACCTTTCATTCAAACTACAAAATAATGTGAAAAAGGGTAAAAAATGAAGGGTATATCCGGTTTTTTCCATGAGATTAAATGTGACTAGTTAACAATTTGAAGCCCCTAATGCACACCAATTATAGAAATCACAAAGTAGAAAATTTAGATAAATGAATATAATGCAAATGAAACAAACATTACAAAAATGAAGGCAAAGCATCAACCAATCACTCAGGTGCACGGATTGCATACTGATACCCTTTAGTATATAATATTTAAGATAAATATAGAATCTTAATTTGTCGATTGATGACCAAACTTATAGTTGAAACCTGATCAATTGTCTACACACCCCAAAATTTCTCTCATTCTCCATATGGAATAGAATTCTTTGCAAAGAGTACCTCAAGGCTCAAATCCCACAATGTCAGATCCCTATAAAATTCAAGTGATTTTACTTTTTTTTACTGGTTTTCCTCAATTGGTTTAATCCAATTTCAGGTCTATTTTTAAACCACAAAATTGTTCAACACTCAACAGCTTTAAAATTTTGCAAACCACATCAAACCAAAGGACCTATTAAATTAACCAAACCAGCCCATTGATTATCATATTAGTTTGTTTGTTCATCTCAAAGCTATAATCAATGTGGTGTGTATCCAATTTTTAATTCCCGTACATAACCTGCACTGTGCTCATTAGTTGCATAAATCATTGAAACAATAACTACCAGTGTTAATAAAATTTTCCCATCACAAGACTTTATGTTAAAACCCAAGAAGCATAATGCCATTTGAAATTATTGAAACCAAGTGATTCTGAGCTTCATGAAAAGGTATAATTCTTAATTCAAAATCATCAAAAACTTAGAACTCAGCTTATCCAGACAATGGTGACTAAATGGATTGAAACTAATGAAAGGTTGCAAAATATTTTAGGCAAGTTATTGTTAAGAAGCATAGAAACAGCACTGGTCATGACAACAACATAGGCATCCAGTAACATTAGCAAAATCTAAAATACTAGCCACTAGGAGTCAAGGACACAACAGAACATAGACAATTAGAGAAATGTATGTCTGTGTGTGTGTTTATGAAAGCTGATCTTACGGGAGAAATGAAAAGAATGAATCCAGAATACTAGATTTGTACGAATGGTGAAGATTAAAATATTGTCAATAAACGTTTTAAATTGGTCATGTGTTAAGACTTAATGTTTTTAATCTCGATTTGTACAAATCTAACAATGAAGATTCACTACTCTCATTTCTCACATAAGATTGGCTTTCTCAATACTCACTAGAATCACTCCATATGTGTGAGTACCAAAAAAACAAGAGGCATATAAAAATATACCTTAAATAAGCCTGGTAAGACTTAAACCATGTTTAGATTGTATTGTATCTAACAATTGTAAAACAAATACATCATTCTTTGTTCCTACAAGTATTGCATAGGTTTGCATTCAAGCGCCATGAGTGTCAAGTGCCTGATACATGTCAAATAGAAACATGGCTCTTTCTTTAAGCATACATGCTATAAAGGTGCAAATGCATGGCTGGCTAAGGTTTGGTAATATATTAAACATAAATGGATTTGTACTTATATTGGTTTGGCTGTCAGTGAAAAAATTAAGATGAAAACATTGACAAAAAATTACAGAAATGACAAAATGAGAAAACTAAATGCATTTGTTATATCTTTTCCTACTTCAATTCTACTTTTACAGAACATTTAGATGAACTTGAATTTGCCAAACATGATTTAGGTATATTTCCAACCAGAAACACAAACACTGAGGCATTCAGCACCTTCAAGTATATAACAGAAATCATCAATTGTTTATGGCAGAGGAAAAAAATAAAGAGAAAATAGACCCACTCTCTTATACCTTAAGTCAATATGCTGCTTATAAAATTCAAAAGGAAAAACTGACAACGAAGCAATATACTTCAGCAGAAAAGACTCTGCACTGCCCCAGTAAAATTAAAAGGAAAAATATCATTAACAGTTGAAGACCATTGAATTGTCTGGCAGGAAAGCAAAAAGATTTTCATCTTTGACACTCCAGTGAAAGGTTGACATATACCAAACTATTATATCAGAATCCATAAGAAACATACATAAAGATCATCCCAAATTAGACATAGAACTCTTGCTTGTTCAAACAAAAATCATTGAAGAGCCTTTTGACGTTTTATGTCACTTCATTCAGAGCTCCAAGTAGTATTCTCACCAATTATGTATGTTGGTTAGCCCCATGTAAATCACTAGAAACTGATATTAAACATCAAAATAACTTAAACCAAGGAAATTTTAAACCACCCAAGAGATTTCACATCTATCCTTCTTGTATTCTTATTTCCCTGATAATTTCAATAACAAGAATGTAAAAAAAGCTATCAAGCTCCTTGTCTTCTATTTCTTTCCCCACCCTTTATTCTTCTCAACCCAATCCACTTCATCAGATACAATTGCCACCAATCTCATTAACCCCTGCCCCATTCTCAGGCATTTATGGGAAACCAAAAGGAACATAAGCAATGCAACAAAACATCCATCCTTCTAGCATTCTTATTTTACAGATAAGTTTAATAACAATAATGTAAAAAAGCTATGAAGTTCCCTTTTTTTTCCTCCTTATTTACCTACCCATTAATCTTCTTATCCCAGTCTACTCTATCAGATACATTTGCCACCACCATTCTCATAAACCCTTGCCCCATTCTCAGGCTTTTGTGGGCAACCAAAAGGAACCCTAACACAAGCAATGCAACAAAAATCTCATCTTACCTGAGAGAACCACCAGGGGAATTGATGAAGAGCCTGATATCTTTAGTGGGATCCTGAGCATCCAAGAGCAGCAACTGGCTCATAATAGCATCAGCCACAAAATCATCGATGCTGCTCCCCAAGAACACGATCCTCTCCCTCAACAACAGCCCCATGGCATCGGTTTCAGCCCCTCTCATGGCGGTGGCAGGCGTCTGAGGCGAAGAAAGCTTAAAAGTGATACTGGGTTTTCCAAGTTCGGACCCAAAGTTTGAATTTTTGGAGGGTTTTGGTGAGGTGGAGAGGACACACCTTACTGGGGTTATGCAAGATTTGAAACATGGTGAGGGAATATAGGTTTTGGGGTTGAATGAGGAAATGGGTGTCTTTGAAAAAAGGGTGCGAATGCACGAACGAGATGGAAGCGAAGTTGAAGGGTAAGAAGCAGAGATTGAGAGCAAATCCATGGCGGTTTTGTGAGTGAGACTGAGAGGAGAGATTCTTGGACAGTGCTGCGCAGCTTGCAGTAGCAAAACCCCTCTTGATTTATTAGAGATTATTCAATATTTTAAAGATAATTTTTATTTGATTTTTATTTTTATTTTTATTTTTTACTGATAGGGTACCATCAACCATTTAGTGGCTTTTTCATTAACCATAGTATTTTTTTTATTTTATTTTTCCAAGATGAAAAAATTCCCCCCTTGTGTTAGCATCAGTATTCGAGAAGTAATTAGGGAGCATGTCTCTTTGCATATAAAATGCATGTTTAGATTAGTTTATTTTAAGAATAATCGCTTTGTTTTCACAATAGGGGGACTTAAAGAAATAATTATTTAGTAAGTAAAAAGTTTAGATTTTAAAAACCTTTGAGCGATGAGTGAGAGAGAGAAAGGTGATCATGGGAAGAATCCTGGCAAATCAAGTGAAGAACTTGACATTCTTCAAAGAAGTAATAAGAGGAATAAAGGTGAGGGAGATCAGTTTTCAAATGATGTATCTATGATACCTAGACATGAAGGTTGGATGGAAGATGAGAATGGCCAACGTTCAACCTGGAGGGAAATTCTGATGCGTCATAATGGAGAAGATGATGAATGGGAAGGAGAGGCGTCTGCCGAGGAAGACTTAGATGGGGAGGAACCTGCTGAGGAAGAGGATGTCAACCATGGAGGAATTAAGATGTGGGAGGAAGATGATGGGCGTACTTATTTTAGTTGCACCAAAAGAGCAAGGAAGAGAATGAGGAAACCTTGGGAGAAAGCTCTGATTGTTAAACTCCTTGGGAAGAAAATTGGGGTGGAGTTTATGAAGAAAAAAATAAATGTCTTATGGGCTAGAAAAGGCAAAATCAATGTCACTGATATTGGTAATGACTTTTTCGTAGTCCAGTTTAGTGAGAAGGATGATCTCAATTTTGCGTTGAACGGTGGTCCATGGATTGTTTTGGGTCATTATTTATCGTTGAGGAAGTGGGAACCAACTTTCAGACCTAATAGTGCTGGAATTGCTAAGATTGCTGCTTGGATTCGTCTACCGGATATTCCCATTGAATTCTATGATGAAGCTTTTTTAGAAGGATTGGAAACTGGTTAGGCAAGATGATCAAGGTAGACAGCAATACAAATGCTCATGTAAGAGGACGGTTTGCAAGAATATGTGTGGAACTGGACCTATCTCAGCCATTAAAGGGTGATTATGTGCTGGAAGGATTTACCAAACAAATTGAGTATGAAGGATTAGGGCTCATTTGTTTTGGTTGTGGGAAATATGGACATAGCACCGAGAATTGTTCAGCTGCTCCAAAGCAACGCAGTTCATCCGATATTCATAATGACGATCAAATTCATCAAGAGGAACCTGGCAACTCAGAATTCCATCGAAGTAAAGGATTGGGACCTTGGATGGTTGTTAATCGTCAACGCAGGAGCCGGCAACCTCCTCAGACGGCCGGTGCAGTCCAGCCAGGCGCTGGTTCAAAAAAGTTACAAAGGAATAATGATAAGGGAGTTATGACCAGCGATAATCATGGAGATAATCATGGTGATAAGAGAGTTATGACCAGCGATAATCATGGTAATCATGGTAATAAGGGAGTTATGACCAGCGGTAATCATGGTAATAAGGGAGTTATGACCAGCGATAATCATGGAGATAATCATGGTGATAAGGAGGAAATTACGCAATCACGGTTTGCAATCTTAACAGCTGGACCTATTAATGAGGAGGATCATAATCAAATAATTAATTCTGTTACTCCTCATATGGGGGGCCCTCAGTTTGAAATTCCTCAGAAAATATGGACTAAATCCAAAAAGTCCAAAGATACCCCTAGGACTAAATCAACGGTTCCTACTATGCATGCGGCTCATTCTTCAAGCACGGGTAAGAGGTGTCCAGTCCAGAGTGAAAATCGTGAAGATCATACTCCCATTCCACCATCTCCATCAATTGCTACTCCCATGGCGGTTAGTCCTATGCAAGCAAATCAACATGATCAGGAAAATGGGATGAAAGCAGATAGCACTTTGAACCAGAATCAAGAGCAGTTATATGACACATTTCATAAAACTGGTCCTGATATATCAGTTGACAACAGCAGCGACATCCAAAATCCTGAAACCTCAACCATCTCTACGTGCATGGAGGTGGACAGAGTTCACCAGGAAGATATTTCAAGAATGAAGGATGCAAGAACCTTGGAGTCTTGCGTTCAACATAGTTTTTAATGAACTTATTCTTCTGGAACTGTAGGGGAGCAGTGAAACCCCAGTTTCAAAATTCGCTTTTTCTGTTTACTAGGAAATATAAGCCTAGTATTGTAGTGATTCTAGAACCTCGGTGTAGTGGTCAAAAAGCTTCTGACATTATCCGAAAATCTGGGTTTAAGCATGCTTTTGTTCAAGAGGCAGAAGGTTACTCAGGGGGTATTTGGATCCTCTGGAATGATGAGACTGGTCTCGTTGAAATTATTAATCACACAAAACAGTTTGTTCATTTTAAAGTTCAGAATTTTCATGTTCCTTCCTTTTCTTGCACGGCAGTTTATGCGAGTCCTAGGGAAGAAAATAGAAAGGAGCTATGGGATGATCTGCTAAACATTAGTCTCCATTGTAATGGGCCGTGGTTGGTGGCTGGGGATTTTAATGAAATAGCAAATCGGGATGAGAAGAAAGGTGGCTGTAGAGTTAACTTAAACAGATGTTCCAATTTTGCAAATGTTCTTCATAATTGCAAGCTGCTGGATCTTGGAGGATCAGGTCCTTGGTTTACATGGAAGGGTCCGAAGTTTCTTCATCTTGATCGTGTTTTTAAGAGGCTGGACCGAGCCTGTGCTAATGCAAGTTGGAAGACTACCTTTACTGATGCTGGCGTTAAGGTACTTCCACGGATTTATTCTGATCATAGTCCCATTTTGGTCTACTTGTCTAACTTGGACACAGGTTGGAAAAATCGTCCCTTTCGCTTTGAGATTGCTTGGATGGAGCATTATAACTTTACTCAGTTTCTGGCTAGGAGCTGGAATGTTGTGAAAGACACTAGAACGAATCTGCATGATCTGACTCCAAATTTAAAAAGATGGAACAAGATAGTCTTTGGCAACATTTTCAATATGAAGATTAACCTATTGCATAGTATTGCAGAAATTCAGAATCATGTTGATTATCATACCAACTTATCTCTCCAATCTAGAGAAAAGGAGGTTAGGAAGGACCTTGATGCGGTTCTCATACAAGAAGAGATCTTATGGTTTCAAAAAGCCAGGGTGAATCAAAAGCTCCAGGGGAAGATGGTTTTCCAGCTGCCTTTTTTCATAAGAATTGGAGTCTTATTAAGACTAATGTTATTAAGGATGTTAACATGATGTTTCAGAATCCCAATCTGATTCACCTTGTGAACTCGACTCTTCTGGTCCTCATTCCAAAAGTAAAGAGACCTGAAAGTGCTAAGCAGCTCAGACCAATCTCTTTGTGCAATGTCATTTATAAAATCCTCAGTAAAATTCTGGTTAACAGAATGAAGCCCCTAATGGAAGAGATGGTGTCTCCCTTCCAAGCTAGTTTTGTTCCTAAACGACATATCCAGGACAACATCATCATCACCCAAGAGCTGATCCATTCAATGCGTAGAATGAGAGGAAGAAAGTGTTTCATGGCAATTAAAATCGACTTGGAAAAGGCTTATGATATGTTAAATTGGGAGTTTGTTCGTAAAATTTTGGATGAAATTCAAATCCCACACTGGTTCACAAATATTATCATGAATTGTATCAACTCTGATAAGGTCTCAGTGCTTTGGAATGGAGCCATTGCAGGTGACTTCCTTCCTTCAAGAGGAGTTCGTCAGGGTGATCCTTTATCTCCCTACATTTTTGTTCTAGCCATGGAAAAATTGTCTCATCTCATTCAAGATGCGGTTGACAATAAGAGATGGAAGCCAATCTCCGTGGGATCAAAAGGTCCTAAGATAGCCCATCTGATGTTTGCTGATGATTTGATGTTGTTTGCAGAAGCTTCTCTAGATCAAATCAAAGTTATAGTGGATTGCTTGGAGACTTTTAGTTCAATGTCTGGCCTAAAGGTTAGTATTCCGAAATCTAGTATTTTTTTCTCGAAAAATACAGATGCTCACATTGCAGATGATATCACAAATGTGTGTGGCTTCAAGCAAACTCACAATATAGGGAGATATCTTGGGTCCATGTTGAAACATGGTCGAGTAACCAAAGACCATTATGCTGATGTTGTTGCAAGAATTAGGCACAATCTTTGCCGGTCGATTCACTTCCAACTCCGTTATTTCAGCAACTCCTATATTTCAAATGCAACACAGTCTGCTTCCTGTAGCCATTTGTGATGAAATAGAGAAGTTGCAGCGTGCCTTTATTTGGGGTTATAAAAATGGTCAAAAGAGAACTCATCTGGTTGCATGGGATAATATTTGCAAGCCTAAGAGCATGGGTGGCTTAGGGGTGATAACCTTCGTGTCCAAAATATGGCTTTCTTTCACAAGCCTGCATGGACGATACTTACTTCGCCCGATTCGTTGTGGGTTCGAGTTGTAACAAGTAAATATAAGAGAGGTTTGGATCTTCGGAGGGAAGTAAATCATAAAGCATATGACTCATACTTCTGGAAAAATCTGTGTAGTGTTTGGCCATCTTTTCTTCAAGCAATGCAATGGGAGATTGGAGACGGTAATGATGCATTATTTTGGACAGACAATTGGTTGGGTTTAACTGAGTGTCTTGCCTCTCTGGCTACTCGTACTCCAACTGGTTTGGAG